AAAGATACCAGTTTGAGTACTAAAGTTCACCTAACTCAAACATGATATTTTCAATATGCATGTGAAATTTAACCAAGGATCAATGTATTTGAGTTATGTTGAAGAAGAATACTGAGAATGTTGTTGTTGCTAAGTGCCATTGAATCGATTCTGACCCATAGCAACTCTGTATAGAGTTTCCAACGAGTGGTTGGAATATTATGGACTGCCAAAAGAACAAATCAATCTGCCTTGGAAGAACTATAGCCAGAATGCTCCTTAGCCTCCTGATGGAGACAATTGGTCTCTCATAGTTTGGTCATATTATCAGGAGGGATGACTAAGTCTCTGAAGAAGAAGAGATCATGCTTGGAAAAGTGAAAGGTCAGTGAAAAAGAGGAAGACCCCCAATAAGATGAATTGACACAGTGGCGGCAGCAGTGAGCTCAAATTTAACAGTAATTGTAAGGATGACACGGGACCAGGCAATGTTTTGTTCTGTTGTGCATGGGGAAGCGACTCGACAGCGCCTAAGAACAACAGTTTTCTTTTTACCAAGATTAGGAAGGTCTGAAGGTGGGGATACGTTTCAAATGCTTCCAGATCTATAAATGGGTGGACCTCAAAAGTTTAGTCATTTATAATTTGGATCCCTTTTAGGCCATTAACCTTTAACAGGTTTAGTTAGAAATTCAAGAAGATCAATCTGAAAATGTTTATGACCACAGTGGACTCACTCCTGTGACATCTTATTCCTTCAATTCATTCTTTCCTTGCATGTTTTATTTCTCTTTTTATTGTTGCCCCCTTTATCTTTGCTTGATATCCTTGTATGATAAAATCCTTTCCAAAAAAAACTTTGAGGTCCTTTCCTATGAAACTTCTCTGTATCACTCTGTAAGAAACCACCTTCTCATTGGTCAGTATCAGTATAATGCCAAATTCAATGGCCTTTTCTTAGTTCTTCTCTGTCATCTTTGGAAATTTTCATACTCTTTGTTTATACCATCCTTCTGTTTTGAAAAGGGGCCCTTGTGGCACTGCGGGTGAAGCACTGGGCTGCTGTATTAAAGATTTGCAGTTCAAACCCAGCAGCTTCTCCATGGAAGAAAGAGGAACCTGTCTGCTCCCATAAAGATTTATAGTCTCAGAAAGCCTATGGAGCAGTTCTACTCTGTCCTACAGGATCGCTAAGAGTGGGAAACACTCGATGGCACTGATGTATTGGTTTTTTTCCTATTTTGAAACTTGCTTTTTCCTTGAGATCAATGAAACTGCTCAGAAACCATTTTTGCCTCTTAGTTCTCTGATTCTTTCATGTCTGTGATGACCTTTTGTGGTTCTTTTACATAGAGACTTCTTACGGGTTTTTTTGCTATCTTTTCCTAGTCTCTTCGTTTGTGTGTCATCTACCTTTATAATTTTAACTAGTCACTTCTTTTTGGAGCATATCCAGTTTCTATCTCAATCCGATCTCAAAATTTGTCTCAATCTTAGCCTTTTTCATGAGTTACTAACTTGGCATTTTCAGACAGAGCTTCTGGTGTTTTTTTTAAAATTCAACCTGTTAAAATAAACAACTTACTTAAAAAAAAAAGAACTTTCACTCACAACAACATGCTTAACAATTAAGATTGATTGTGAATGAAATATGAAAGGTAAAACAATGTTTCTATAGAAAATGTCGGAGAATATCTTCATGATTTAAAAATTTTGAGTTTTATAAGGATTTCTTTAACAGAACACTAAACAAAGGCCTCCTGTAGTGAGTGCTGTAGGATAAAAGAACTGGCCCAGTAGGTCAGTTTGAACTCTATACAGGGTTGTCATGAGTGGGAACCAACTCAGCCGCATTTTGATTCAGCAGCTTTACGACAACAAACGAATCATGAAAGAAAAGATTAAGAGGAACACTACAGTTAATAAAAAGGAATGAACTACTGATGCAGGCAACAATAAAAAAGTACATACTGTAAAATTCCATTTATATAAAAATGTAGACAGTACAGATAGGAGTCTATAGTAATAGACAGTGTATCTGTTTGCTTGAAGGTGAGGACAATGATTGAAGAAGAGGCCATTGAGTTGCTTCTGAATTATAGTGACCCTTGTGACAGAGCAGAGAGGGTAGTTTTCACTGTACTCTATGGAAGCAGCTCACTAGGACTTGTCGTGGAGCTGCTGGGTGGGTTTGAATTGCGAGCCTTTTGGTTAGCAGTCAAGCATTAACCAAGTTAAGAGCTACCAAGAAATCCAAGGTGGCACTAAAGAGGAAGGCATTACAAAGGGCATGAGGAAACTTGAGAGTTGGTATGTTCACTGTCTTGTTTATGGTAATGGGTTCACAGGTATTGGTGGGGGGGGCCTTCAAAAATTGTGTGCAAAATTTAATTCTCTTTTAACTCCTTTTTCTACTAACTTTTTTGAAGTACCCTAGTATATATGTCAAATTTAACAAATAGTATGCTTTAAGTAGAGTTAGTTTGTCATTTATTCCTCATCAAAACTGCTTTAAAAAAAAAAATCTGTAAGAAAAGGCAAGCTGTAAACTCGGAGATGTTTCAGTATGCATATCCAACAAAGAACTTACATCCAGAAAATAAATAAAATAATACAGATGATGGGATTTCCAAAAGATAATGGAATTTTTTTCATTAAGTTTTTGAAGCCCCTACATGAATGACTTGTCTGTCACTTGTACTGTGGTGGCTTATGTGTTGCTATGATGGTGGCAGCTGTGCCATCAGTATTTCAGGTACTAGCAGGGTCACCTATTGTGGACAGGTGTCAACAAATTTTCCAGATTAAGACAGACTAGGAAGGAGAACCTGGCTGAGTCAGATTCAATTCAACAGTACCTAAAAATAACATATAAAAATACAATTCAACAAGAAAGACTACCAATTCTTTAAATTGGCAAAAGTTGAACTGACATTTCACAAAAACGCATATCCAAACAGTAAGCATATGAAAAGGTGTGAATAGGAGAAATTCAGACATCAGGGAATGCATACTAAAGGAGATACTACCACCACCACCACCAGGTTCCTACCAGAATGGCTAAAACCAAAGAATTGGCAGTAGCAAGTGGTGTTAAAGATGTGAAGCAACTGGAATACTGCTGGTGGGAGTGTAGATTGTTGCAGATACTCTGGAAAAACGTTTGGCAGTATATATTAAAGCTAAAAATATGTATACTTTGTGAGCCAGCATTTCCACTCCTAGTTTAGCTCTGATAAGTAGTTAGTGTTTATGTTCACCACTTGACATGCACAAAAATATAATGGCTAAAACGAGAAACAACTCAACTGTTTATCAGCCATGGAATTGATAAATTGTGGTGTATTCATAAAATAGTGTATTACTTAGCAATGAAAAAGAACAAACTTGGAAATCCTATACAGGGTCGCTATGAGTTGGAATTGACTAGACAGCACTTAACAACAACATATATATATATACATATACACACACACATGTACACGCACATACACATAAGAGGGCTTCACGAAATTCATGGACAAATGGAATTAAAGATAATGGAATTTTACATGAACTTTTTGAAGCTTCATATATATTTAAAGGGAGTCCTGGTGTGGCACTGTACGGTAAGTGCAGGACCACAAGGTTGGTTTGAACTATAGGTCAGTGGTTCAAACTCACAAGTTGCTCCTTGGAAAACCCTTATACTAGGTCGTTATAGGTGGGAACTGACTCAGTGAAACTTCACAACAACATATATTTTTTAATTTGTTGAGGTATATGTCCAAAATTTGTGAATTTTGCTACATGTAAGTTATATCTTAGTAAAGAATGTTTTCTTAAACCTGCCCTCTTTATTTTCTCTTCCAGTTCTCCCTTTGATTTTCCTCCTTTCCTTATAATTAGCTTTCACTCTGACTTCTCAGGTTTTAGTTAACTGAAACCCTGTTAGACCTGCTATAAAACCCAAGTTTAAAACCCTGGCTCTCCTTTATTCCTTTTTGGTAGTTAGTCTTTAAGTCCTGTCAGTAATTCCTTTAAAATGTCTCCCAACCGTACTGTTTCCAAGTCATGCCTCTCTAGAGTTCTAACCTTTATTATAAGCCTGAATTATTGCCAAAACCCTAAATGATCTCCCTGCTTTTCATACTCAGAACTCTTCTACGTGGTGCCACAGCGTTCTCTTTTTAAAGCACCAGTCAGACGATGCTTCCACTCTGGTTGTATCACTTTTCAAAAGCCTGTAATGGCTCCCGTTTGGGACATACTAAGTGGACACACAGAGTCGCCATATGTCAGAAGCAGCAAAAGATGAAACTCAGGCTTTGTTTTTAGGACCCTCCTTACAACTTCCCCAGCCATGTGCAATCCTTTGGAAAACTAGGATGTTTAATGTTTCCAAACCCACTTTGCTCCCTTTTGCTTGTAACTCTTAGTTCATGCTTTACTCTTCCTAAATGCTTTCTTCCTCAGTCTAAACTGCTTCTCAAATCATTTCAACTTGAGGGTTCATGATATGCTTCGTAAAAGTCCACAAAACCCTTGGAATTCTATGCAAATGGTTCCATATTGTACATTTTTTCATAGAAAGGGCTTGTCATCAGATTCACCAAAATGTCCATAACCTCTATCCCAAAGTTAAATTGAATTTGTGGTCTTTTGAAGGAATTAATTTTATGTTGATTTAGCAGAATTTTGTCTCATTAAAACTCCTTAGATCTCAGTACGCTAGATAATAAAGCATATTTTTTAAAGTTCAGAATTTAAAATTCAGGCAAATTATATTGTTTTCCATTTATTAGGTTCCTAAATATAGATATTTGTGTGGAATATATTTTGCTCATAAGATAATATATACATCTTAATATTTTTCACTTTGGTTTCTTTAGTTAGGGGGAAATTTATTTTTCTCCTACTTCCACTTAATCTTACAACTAACAACAGCCAGTATCATCTCTGTATGCTTTGATGTAGTAATCCCTTTGTAAAGATATTGGTAATTTTTTTCTTTCATTCCCCCCCCCCCCTTTCTGTTTTAGATTACTATAGGCAATGGAAACTGATCTCAGTTCCCAGGACAGGAAGGACCTGGACAAGTTCATTAAGTTTTTTGCCCTCAAGGTAATAAGTCCATTGTCTTGCTCCTAGAACCCTTAGAAATAATTTCTGTGCTTTTCTTTTTTGGAGGTCATCTTTAGAAATGTAGCACTGCAGCTTGCAGCTTGCCCATTGTAACGGAGAATTCTGTCTGCTGGAAACCAAACTGTGAAGGTTGGGGCGGGGCTGGGGGGATGTAACTAAAATGTAGCTTCCTATTTTCAACAGCAGCTTGTTTTAAAAAAATTTTTTTTTTTTTCTTTGCAAGACTACAGAAATGTCAGATCATTATGTCAGGTTATTGGCACAGACTGTTCCCTTGGGATAGTAACAAAGACTGAGTCAAAATGGTCAGCATTGGGGACAGCTTTCCCTAAGCATCAATTTACCCTGACCTGCCCAACTTTCATTTATTGCTTCCTTCCTGGCAAATGGGAAATTAAAATTGAATTCTGAATGTTTTACAAGTTGTGCTTATTTTCCCCTTTACCATTCTTTCCTCTTAGCCACTTCCATGTTAGAATAATCCATACAATACAGATTCTGACTATAAAATTATCTGGAAGACTTTTGCCATAATGAGCCAAACAGTATGAATAATTGTGCAAGTTTTTTAAATCAATGATTACATAAGTTGTGGCAGTACATATTGAAACCCACTGTTAGTGGTGTTTCTCCCTGAACACTGTAGCCACCACATGCAACTTACCTTCTGTGAGGTGAGGATAGCACAGATCACAGCCCTAAATTAGATCATTCGTATCCTCAGGACAGTTTACACTTTTTATTTTATTTTTTCATTAATTATTAGATGTTTTAAATTCTACCCTTTCCGGGGGCACGTTGTTGTTGTTGTGAAGTGCCGTGGAGTCAGTTCTGACCCATAGTGACCCTGAGGCATAGCTATGATTAATTGGCATCTATATTTAATCAGTAGCATTGGATCAGGAGCCAAGTCAGTTTTTTAAGACTTTTCATCTTTGTTTGCTTGTTTGTTTTTAGACTGTCCAAGTGATTGTCCAGGCTCGACTTGGTGAGAAGATTTGTACTCGTTCATCCTCTTCCCCAACGGGTTCAGACTGGGTAAAAATCTTGTTCTTTGCTAAGGGGTATACGGTGGTGTTTGCCACAGGAATGAATTTTAAAAGCTCTCAAGTTTAAGAATACAGAATACTGTTTATAGTGTTAAGCATGATGTTAAACAGCTAATTCTATTTGAGCTATTCACTTGGAAAATATGTTCTTTATCTAATGTTAATTCTGGATTTATTTTGGGTTTTGGCTTCCTGCTGTGTTAGGTGAAAGGCTAAGTCCTGGAAGACAAAATAATATTTTGTTAACTAACCTTGGTAATAGGTAATCACCCTTCTCAGCCTGAGATTTGAGCCTTTGATGCTGGTTATGTCTCAAGGGGAAGGGAGAGGTAAATGAATGTCTGCCTTAATCAGAGCGATATTGCATTACCCAACATAGTCTCACTTCATGCATCCATAGTGCTCTTTGTGAGTATTGGGGTACAACAGCCCTTTTGTTTTCTAGTTCAATTTAGCAATCAAAGACATCCCAGAGGTTACACATGAAGCAAAGAAGGCCCTGGCAGGGCAGCTGCCTGCTGTCGGGAGATCTATGTGTGTGGAGATCTCACTCAAGACCTCGGAGGTAAGGTTATGGTCAGGATGGTGCCGTCATTTGGCACTCAAAACTGTTAACACTCTAGTCCCAGCTCGCTTTTGGGCCTTCTTCCTGCCTCTTCCCCTCTGAACTTTCTCACCATTCTCTGAAGAGGTCTTGGTTTTTATACTTAATACTTCATCAACTTGGAATAGGCACTTTGTCCTTATTTTCACATGACATATTTCAGCTCATCCTTCAAGACCTATATCTCTTAGCATTACGAGACTGGGAAGATGCATGACATAGTAAAAGGCAAATGGACTTAGGAGCCACGCAGTTCCAAGTTCCAATTCCAGTAATATTGGCCAAATTACTAAACTCCACCCACCCCTCCCACCCCCCTACCCCATCTAACTCAACCACACTTGACTCAGCATGCAGGGCTGTAATACTTTTTTATTTGATCCTTACTCGTAAAGCTCACACCATAAGCTGATGAACTGCAGACAGTCAATGCATTTTTTTTCTGCTTGAGGTCAGCAGCTATCCCACATCTTATTTCTCTTTGTTGTGCTTCAAATTCTTTTTGAAATGATAATCTCGATTTCCTCAGTGTTAGTTAGCACATTGTCTGGAATGAAATTTAGTAGACTCTCAAGAATAATGTTAATACTTATTTCATGGAGAACTTAGCACAAACTAATACAAAAAATATTCTTTATTTAATTAAAATTTATATTATAGATTTAGGAGCACAATGGCTCTGTAGGATAAGCACCGAACTGCTAACCACAAGGTTGGCTGTTCAATCTCATAGCTGCTTATTGAGAGAAAGATGAGGCTTTCCACTCCCATAAAGAAACCCTATACAGGGTTGCTGTGAATCAGAACTGACTCGATAACACTTAACAACAACAACTATGGATGATTTTCCTAATATCCATAGAGTGTCTAAAAGGAATCCTTAATCTTTGTCTCTCCTTGGCGTAGTTTCCTAGGAAATCTCGAATTATCACCAGCTCTAATTGTTCTAGAGAAACTGTATGACTTGCTTTGGATACTCCCCTGTATTGTCACTTCTTGTTTTTTATGGGTAGAATGATGACATTAAAACTTCATCTTCTCATTTAAAGCTGACAGTTTGATGAGATACATATTAGATCTGGAAGAAGTGGAACTCAGTTCTCAACTCTTCAAACAAATCCAAACTTAATCCCAAACCTAAGAGAATAGCCTTCTTGATACGTTAAAAATAGCCAACTGATACGTTAAAAACAAAACCAAAAAACCTTACGTAACTATTCTTAAAAAACAACACTCAAGATCTTTCCAAGATGGGGGATTCTGGTTTTTATCTACTATTCTTCCTTTAGTTTCCTATTCTTTGATGTCTTGAGCCAAACTATTCATCTCTAGGGACAGACTTACTTCACCAAAGAGGACATTCATATGGCCAACCAACTCATGAAAAGAGGCACAGTAGCATCAACAATCAGAGATGTAAATCAGTAAACCATATGACATACTATTTTACTTCAACTAAGATGGCTAAGAAGGAGCTGTGGTAGCGTAGTGGTTACGAATCGGGCTGTGAACTGCAAGGTCAGCAGTTTGAAATTACCAGCTGTTCTGCGGGAGAAAGATGAGGCCTTCTGCTCCCATAAAGATTTACAGCCTTGGAAACCCTGTACAGGGTCACTATGAGTTGGAACCGACTCCACGGCACTTAACAACAACAAGATGGCTAAGAGTCTTGGTGTGGCACTGTACCTTAAGCACTGAATGGCTAACCACAAGGTTGGCAGTTTGAACCCACGAGCTGCTCCTCAGAAACACTATACAGGGTCATATGAGTCAGAACTGACTTAACAAACAACACAATAACAACAGCCTGGCTAAAAAAATCACAAATGTTGGACAAGTTGTAGGGTAATGGGAACCCTTATCCATTGCTGGATAGAATGCAAAATGGTACAGGCATTATGGAAAACAGTGTGGTAGTTCTTCAGAAAACTAAAAATTCCACACCTAGACATATACTCAGAGGACTTCAAAGCAGAGACTTGAAAAGAGACTTGTACACAAATGTTCATTGCAGTAGCACTATTTACAGCAGCCAAAAGATGGAAGCAACCTAAATGCCCATCCATAGACGTAAGTGATAAATGACCTCGCTTATATAGAAAGATAAGACAAATGTATAGAGATACAATATGTTAGTGGTTACTAGAAGCTGGAGGGAAGGAGAAAAGAGATTGTTAATGGTGAAAGAAGGTTACACAGCTGATTTTTGTAATTGCTGTCAATCATTTGTGTGCTTATAAAAAGTTGTATGATGGAAATATTATAACAATGACCAAACAAAATCTGAAATAAAGAAGAGTAATTGCTAAGGCTGCTGATGTATAACTAAACTCCACATGGCATTTGGTTCCTTGGTTTGGAGGCTTAGGGTCAAGGTTTTATGGGACGTCTCAGTTAATTGGCCTAATCACGTGTGTAGTGCTTCTGTTCTACCTCCTAGTCTATTGTGTAGTGCCTGGTATCTTAAAGTGTGTGCGTGTGAGCTGCCATTTCAAGGTACAATTGGTCTCTATTCACTTGGAGCAACATAGGAAGGATAAGCACTGGACCACAAGGCCAGTTTGAATCAACTTGACGGCACGTAACAAGAACATGGGCTAATAGCATCCATAAACAATTTTCTCCTTTGCCATGAGACCAGAAGCACTGATGGTGCCCTGCTACCATTACTGATTAAAAATTCCAAAGAAGAATCCTGATCAAAGAGGGAAAATACAGAACAAAATCCTCATGAACTCCAGATAATTCTGAAGCCATGAAGGATAGATGAACCCCTGAAACTATTGCTCTGATATACCACAAAGTCAGTACTTCACGGCCACTAGCTACTTCCTGAAGTCTTTTTTGAGAACTTTTTATTGTGAATTGTGTGAAGGTTTACTTTCAACAAATCATATACTTCCTCAAAGTCATCTTAAAACGGAACAATAGCTTAGGTTTGCTAGTGGAAAGAAAAAGGTCTACCTTGAGCGTGTCGATGTTTTATCTGGGATCAAAAGGTACCATGTTGGTGTAGTTAGTTATGCTTTGGGCTGCTAGCCATAAGATCAGCAGTTCAAATCTACCAGCTGCTCTGAGGGAAAAAGATGAGGCTTTCTGCTCCTGTAGAAATTTACAGCCTTGGAAACCCTATACAAGGTCACTCACTATGAATCACAACCAACTTAAGGACATAATTTGATAACATGTAATCAAATTGACAATAGCAACTCAACAGATTCACTACAAACCTTGGGGAGCAGTGAATTTATGTTAATGAGGAAAGAACAATTTAGAAAAGGAGGGTTAAGAATAGTTGCATAACTCGCAGAATGTGATCAGTGTCATTGAATTGTCCATGTAAAAACTGTTGAATTGGCGTATGTTTCTGCTGTGGCCAACAACAACAACAAAAATAACTAAAATTTAGGAAAACACAACAAAAAACTTAATATTTTTCAATTGTCCCATCTACAGGGAGATTCCATGGAGCTGGAAATTTGGTGTCTTGAAATGAATGAAAAGTAAGTGTCTCTGTGTTTGGGTCCTTGATTGTGGTAGCTGAGGAGATATGGTAGTAGATGATGTCATGTGAAAAGCAGGGTTTATCAGTCACGGAGGGCATTGAGATCCTTCACTAAGCCACTTGGTCATTGCTACTATTGGCTTCCTGCTTGGCCTCCAGACGAGACAGAGCAGTGACCTTCAGAGGGAGCACCAATCCAGAGAGGCTCAGTCAGCACACAGAGAAACAGCAGAGAAAGCCAAAGGGGTTGGTTGTTTTCCCAGAGTACAGAGCGTTCTCTGATTCAGTCCCTTGGGAGCTCTTGTGACATGACTACTGTATTTTGTCTGTTTTCTGGATGGCAGATGGCCACTAAGAGTCCCCCTCACCACTCCTCACTCTTTTTTAATGACTGCCAGTCATGGATTGGAAATGCATTATTTCTCACCCCCTTTTCTTCTTTCAAGACAGATTAATTTACTTCCCTTTGGAATCTTTCGTTTTCAAGAAAAGTATATGGGAAATATGAGGAAAATTTGAGAAAAATTTCAAATGAAAAACAGTGATAATTATGTGTGATGTGGGAGTTATTTTTCTTTCTTAAATAGAAAGCAATTGCCAGGTTATAATCTAAAATTATATTATCAGAAAGACTTTTCTCCAGATTTCTCAGAAGATGAAATTATGTTTACACCTTAGTATATATAATTACAATATTGAGTTACTACTGCTTTTAAAATGTATTTTCTTTCTTAGAAAGATAACCACTTCAAAGGTAGAAAAAATAAATTGGGTGCCTTTTAGCACTCATCTGCCTGTGTCTAGTTCATGAAAAAGAAAATATTTGGTTTTCTCAACAATATGTTGGTAAACTGACAAAGAACCTTGATTATGCTTTTTGCTCAGAACATGTGTAATAATAAATTTGATATTGGACAGTTCTAGCCCATAATTTATAACTATCTCTCTTGACTGTAATACTCTCATGGTGTATTTAAACTATAAAGCTGAATGTATTCCATTAGAATTCATAGATAACATTGTCAAATTAATCTCAGCCATTATATGGAATTTAGTACTACCGATATATCATTTGCAGTTCTTTGCTTTACCTTAGATTAATAGAGAATGCTAATGATGTTTATGTGCTCCTCAGGTGTGATAAAGAGATTAAAGTTTCCTACACAGTATACAATAGACTGTCTTTGCTGCTGAAGTCTCTCCTTGCTATAACTAGGGTGACACCAGCCTACAGACTCTCCAGAAAACAAGGACATGAATACGTCATACTGTACAGGTAAATGGCCTCAGTGCTCCTCTTCTTGGTGACTCATCAGCCTCATCCTTCTGTACATGACCTGACTAGTATTCAGGATCCGATGGTTATTTCATGGTTGGATGGTAGTAGCTACAGTAGCTTTAGTATGATCATTTCTCCAACCTCCATTATTAACCACTATCCCAGGAATCCTCCACGTTGCTAGCCACCAAGTTCATCGCCCTTTGGCCTAGGCCTGGCCTGCCTGTGATTTCAGTGGAATAGAATTTGAGGTCCTATTCACTCACATACAGCACAAAGGAGGAAAGGAGTGTAAGGGGGTTTTTTTGTGTTTTTTTTAAAGGGAAAAAAAAACCCCAACAGGCTATCTTGTGAAAATTCCATTCCACAGCTTTCTGCATGCTGGGTTAAATTTAAATTTTCTGTCTAGCAGTTTTCTAACTGAATTAGATTTAAATTTAAAGTTTTTTTTTGTAAAGAACTGGTTAACATTTCTTTAAGGATTTTCCTTAAAGTATTTCACCTCAACACATATTTATTGAAGTACCTTTTTTTTAAATTATTAAATAAATGTTTTATTGTGAATTGTGTGATAGTCTGCATGGGAGAACGTTAGTCTTACATCCATTCTATCATACATCATTTCATTGGCATAGTTACCATCCTGTCCATGCATCCTCATCCAACCAAAGGGTATGCCCTGCATGCCTGCCCCACCCCACTCCCCACAAACCCACAGTCCTCAGCCCCTTTCCCTCTCTGAGTCCCAAGTCCCCAGCCACTCCATCTCTTCACGTCGTCTTCTCTGCCTCCATCTCAGGCCTCATTGCTTCTCTGGGTAGGATACTGCTCTCCACTCTTCTCCATTGATGGTCCCAGGGCCCTCTGCTCCTAGACTGAAAAGTTAATCACTCCCCCTCCTTGCTACAAAATGTCCACCTTTAGATTTCCAACCCTCACAATCAGTCCTGATAACAATTATTCACTATTGCATCACAAGAGACACATCTGTATTTCGTTTCATCAGCCCTTCCTGGACAGGCTGGATGCGAATCACTGGAGACTCTACCTTCCTCCACGCCCTTTGGATCTAGGTTCCCTCTTGAAAGCTTGTAAGCCAGTCATTTCTTACCTTTGTATCCCTCCCCCCATTTTGGGTAGCCAATGTCGAAATTGCCCATCCCTGTCTACTGTTTGTGTGGAGGTGTTGGGAATAGTTCTTACAGCAGGGATTTGTTTCCTCTTTTGAGTTACTGCATTTATAGGTGTAGGTCATGTGTATCAAATTGTATCATGAAGTATCTTTTTAATGCAAGCAAAAAAAATGCAAGGAAGAGCTACAGTACAGAAAATCTGCCATAAGGGTGTTTCCAGTCTAATGAGGAACCCATTTGGCATCTGCATAAATCTACATTAAAAGAATGTGAAGTATGCATAGCACTATCAGGAAGGAAAAGTTCATTGTGGGTGTGAAAAACAGGACAGGCTTCATGGAGGAAGTGGTATTTGAGCTGTATTCAGATTGTCTCATGGCCCAGAACGGGGAATTAGGAGAGTATTGTGGAGGCCAAACCAAAAAACCCAAACCCATTGTTAGCAAGTTGATTCCGATTCATAGCAACCCTGTAGGCCTGCGTAGACTATGCCACAGGGTTTCTAAGATGACAAACTCATGTCTCTCTCCTGCCGTGTAGCTGGTGGGTTTAAACCATAGAGTTAGCAGCCCAGCACTTCACCAGAGGGCTCCCCGATCATCCATGACTCCTGTCTTATATACCATGTTAGTGACAAGCCATTGGTTTTAGAGCAAGAAGTTTGTGTATGAAACTGGTTTTTAAAATTACTGTTCTAGTATGGGAAGACTAAAGACGAGAGACTTAACTAGTTCTGTTGAACCAATCCAGTACCCAAGAATAGTTATTAAGTCATCCTTTAACTTTCTTAAGCAGTAATCAAACAACCCTAACTGTATTTACTTTTCCAAGTCTTTAATACAGTTTTGCCATCTTTATTGTTTTCTCAGGTTTAAAGCTGAATTATTTCATTTGAAAATTACTGGACTCTTATTCAAATATAATAGAAAGATACTAAGTAACCATCCTATTACTGTTAGAGCAATACAGTATTTATTGCTATATGTTTAATCAATTAATAGTGCTTCTAGATGCAAATAATATAGCTTAGACCATAGAGAAAGGAGTCCTGGTGGCTTTGTAGGTTAGATACTGAGCTGCTAACTTCAAGCTTGGCTGTTCAAATCCACCAGCCACTCCATGAGAGAAAGATGAACCTTTCTGTACCCATAAATATTTGCAGCCTTGGAATCACTGTGAATCAGAATTGAATTTATGATAGTGGGTTTGTTTGTTTTGTTGTTCAAATGCTAGAGAAGGTATTGTTGTAAAGTGCCATCTAGTCGGTTCTGACTCAGTGACCTTGTATAAGATTTCCAAGCTTCCAGTTTGAACGACTGGCCTTGAGGTTAGTAGTCCAATTCTTACCTTACATTATTACCACACCAGGGCTCCAACTTTTATATGCATTTGTTAAGTGCTGTTGAGTTTGTTTTGACTCATAGCTATCCTATATAGGATTTCTAAAGCTTTACATCTTTGTTCGAACAGAAAGCCTCATCTTTCTCCCGCAGAACAACTGGTGGATGTGAACCGATGACCTTGTAATTCAGTCTAGTACTTATTGTATGGAGCCATCAAGCTCCCTGTAGCGAGGAGGGTGATCTTAAAGATAGGTTTGAATCTGTTTTTTTTTTTCCTTTTTACTGTTCTTAGCTGTATTGCCATTCTATTTTTCTGATCTTATAGAACTAGCTATAAAACAATTTTGAATGTGCTGTGTATCAAGACTGAATTAAAGTTATGTTGTCTATTTTTTAAGGAAAATTTTATTTCACCTCTAAGTGCTATCCACAGAGTACACCCAAGAAAAAGTTCAATGTAATTATTATATGTTAAGCACTTCACCAATAGTCAAATGACTAGTATGTTAGCTCTTTATGAAGAGATGTTTTTAAGTGCTGTCCAGTTGGTTCCAATTCATAGTGACCCTGTATAGGGTTTCCGTGGAGCAGCTGGTGGGTTTGAATTGCTGACCTTGTGCAGCCCAGTGCAGATCCTACAGAACCACACCAGCAGTCCTTATCAAGGGATAACTAGGGGGATTTCTCTTTGGCATCACTATTAATATTAAATTAACATTGTTACTTTATGACAGGGGTCAGCTGACAATGACCAATTGGGCTGCTTGATTTTGTAAATAAAGTTTTTTTAGAACACAGCCATGCCCATTTGTTTACACATTGTCTATGGTGACTTTTGCTATATAATAGCAAAGAAGAGTAGTTGTTAACAGATTGACCCACAGTTCTGAAATGTTTACTCTCTAGCCTTTAAAAAAAAACAACTAACATGTAAAAAGTTTGCTGACCCTGCTTTCTGATGTCTGTCTCTTTTATGCATCTGTTTCAGTATTTATTACATTTTTTACTTTCCGTACCAGACTATGGGAGTATGTTGGCTTTTTAGGATAAGCATTGGACTATGAACCACAAGGTCAACGTTTCAAACCCATCAGCTACTCTGCAGAGACCAGGTGTGATACTGTGGAGTAAAGCACTGGACCACAAGGTCAGCTTGAACCATGTGGTCAACAGTTCAGAAACTTTCCAGCAACTCCTTGGAAACCCTGTATAGGGTTGCTATGAGTCAGAACCCACTTGATAGCACTTAAAAACAACAAAGCTACTCTGTGGGAGAAAGATAAAACCTTCTGCTCCTGCAAAGATTTACAGCCTTGGAAACCTGTACAGGGTCAATATGAATCGGAACCAACTGGACAACACTTAACAACAACACTGTATAGGGTTTCCTAGGAGCGGCTGGTGAGCTTGAACTGCCAACCTTGCAGTTTAAACTGATTTTGTGGTCCAGCATACTAACCCCCAGTGCCACACCAGGACTCCAACAACATAACCAGACTATAATCTGAGATCTAGGAGTGCCTGATAACATCTAATCATGACTTTGTACAGGCTTGGAGCTTAGCATTTATTGAACAAGGCCATGTGTGTGATTACTGTTGAACAATGTTACTTGAAAGCTATAAAATTACATTTTAAGCATTTTGTTAATTTTTTTTTTCTAACATGGGCTGGTATTACTGGGAAGACTTAATGGAAAGATTCTGCTGTGTTTATATTTTTAACTTTTAGAGTAGTCTTTCTTCATTTGGTAACCAATTCTCTATACACCCCTGTATAGAGTTATGCAGCTTGTTTTAAGTTATTAATAGCATTATTGCTCCATCAGGAGAAGCATTCATGCAGATGAAGAAAGGAGAGTTTGTTCTGCGTGTTGGTTTGTTTTCAGGTGATTTACTTATAGAGGCTATTAGAATAGAGATTCTTGGGTAACTTCTTTTCTTTCCTCCCTACAGAATCTATTTTGGGGAAGTTCAGCTGAATGGCTTAGGAGAAGGTACGTATAAAAGTGGAAACACATTTGAGTATTAAGAAAGCACCTGACTTCTTGGTTGATCTTTTTCATAGTTTTCTACAGCTGTCTATTTTCCTAATTTTCTGCAATGTCATGTTAAATATGTCTGATGAGCACCAGCAATTTTGAAAAATTGGAAATGAAACCAGAGCAAAAACACTGTGTAAGGCTCTGACTCTTCCCTATACTTTGTTTGGGGGCCTCAGTTTGGGTGGCTGTGTAGTTACTTCTCAAATTGAGGTGCGTGACAAACTTCTAGTGTCCTTTCTCTGTCGCGTTGGGCATCTGGGTAGGATTGGGTAGGACTTGCTCAGAATTTAGGGCTATTACATGTTATACCTCTTTGAAAGTAGTTTCATCTGAAAATGAGACCCATATAGTATTTGGTCCATATAAAATAAATTGGAGGGAAAAAACTTTCTGTAGAGAGAAGAAATCCAGACTGCTGCACTCAAAGTGCTAAGAGATAAGTAATGCCAGCGATTGGCCGCTAGGCTGAATGACCCAGGGAAAGGCTGGCTGGGAACAGTGCCAGTTTTCTTTGGAAAAATTTTGTTAATAACTTATTTTCTCTTCTCCTAGGCTTCCAAACAGTTCGTGTTGGGACAGTGGGCACCCCTGTGGGCACTATCAGTCTTTCTTGTGCTTACAGAATTAACTTGGCATTCATGTCTACCAGGTGAGAAAGAGCCTTGGGATCCCAAAGAAATGTTCCAAAGATGTTCAGGTCCCATCCCCTCTGTCCAAACACCAAGACTAGGCTTACAGTTCAGCAGTGGTATTGCTGAAATCAGCCCCTCAGAAGAATGAAAATCAAGAGAGAGTGAGTGATATTACCAGACTGGAGAATCTGAGTGTCTCAGAACCAATTGGTTCAGAATGTAGAGTTGTTGGTTACTATTTAGGAGTGTGCTAATTAAGGTTTTGATAGTGCCTGCCAAAGCAAGAGGCCCTCTGAGTCTTTGGTGGGCTTAAAGGCATTCTAACAAATATCGCAATCTGCTTATTGCATTGCAGGCAATTTGAGAGAACCCCACCTATCATGGGGATTATCATTGATCATTTTGTGGACCGTCCCTATTCCAGCTCCTCCTCGCCCATGCATCCCTGCAATTACAGGTGAGGAATGTGAAAGGTGCTCTCTCAAACTGCAGCTAGGCAAAAGCATCCATCTTTTAGGGTCAGGTAAAGCACCTGATGGAAACCTCATGTGGTCTAGCTTTCCTTCTTGCTGCTTCCTGTGAGATGTACCAAGATGGGAAATATACAGAAAGGCTCAGAACAGAACAGTCGTAGACATTTTGGATGTTTATTGTAGTGACCAGATTTTCCAGTAGCTACTTAGACTGGCAGTTACTTGTAGAATGTCTTTGGACAGATTAAATGGTTCTCAGGTTGCCATCTGATACAGTTGAATTTTGTTGTTGTTGTTAAGTGCTGTCGAGTTGGTTCCAATTTATAGTGACCTGTATAGGGTTTCCGAGGAGTGCGTGGTGAGTTTGAACCGCTGACTTTGCAGTTCAAACTGACCTTATAGTCAAGTGTTTATCCTACAGCACCACAGCAGTTGACTTATACATCAAAATAATGTCTCCAGGCTAAATCTCAGAAAACACAATTCTCTTGAGGTTGGAGTAGGTGTGTATCAGGAAGGACTTTTTTGTTTGATGGACTTTGTTTGATGGACTTCTGAAGTTGGCTAAGTTTGTCTGTAGGCTCAAGAATTTTCTGTCACTGAGTGCCAATACAATTCTTTGAAGTCCTGGTCTGCTCTCAGCATTGGCTCAGAAAATTGTCTCTCAAATGATAGATCAGGTAAAATATTTGGCTTAAATAAAGCTTTGGTGAGACCACTGGATGCTATTCTCATGAAAATGTTTTTAAAAGGCTCAGCATGCCCCTTTTGACTTTTCTATTTTGGCATGGATTCTCTTACAATTGTTGTTGTTGGTAGGTGCCATCGAGTTGGTGCCACTCATAGTGACCTTATGCACAAGAGAACAAAACACTACCTGATCCTTGGCCAACCTCACTGTTGTAGCTACACTTGAGCCCACTGATGCTGCCACTTGGCCAATCCATCTTATTGGGGGTCTTCCTCTTTTTCTCTGACCCTCCCCACCTTACCAAACATGATATCCTTCTCCAGCCACTGGTCCTTCCTGACAATACGTCCGAAGTGTGAGAGACGAAGTTTTGCCATCTTGGCCTCCAAGGAGCACTCTGGGCTTCAAAAAGTTTGTGGGGAGGTCCCCATATTCCACTTTCCATGAACTTTGTTTTATTTAAACTTTCTATTGTGAGTTGGTGAAGGTTTACAGAACAGTTCATCAACCCTACATACAACAAATTAAGCACCTCGTGTCATTACAATGATTTCTGCTCCCTCCATGTACCATCTGTTAACAGTATTTCCCCTGTATTCATTTTAACGCTTTCCCTCCCCACCTTCTCACCCGCCCTGTAACCATCATAGAAGGCTTCATTGAGGAAGAAAATCTTTTCTTAACTCTTTACAAGAGTGGTCTCATGCAGTATTTGTCCTTTTGTGATTGACTAGTTTCCATCAACATAATGTTCTCTAGTTTCACCTATGTTGTAGGTATTTGCAGAGTCTTCTCAGTGTTGTGTAATATTCCATTTTGTGTATGTACCAAAGTTTGTTTAACCATTCTTTGGTTAATGGGCATTTAGTCTGTCTCCTTTTTGTTATTGTGAGTAGTGCTGTAATGAACATGGGTGTCACAGCTATTATGTTTTGAGGATATATACCAAGTGGAGGGATTTCTGGGACATACGGCATTTTTGATGAGAAAGCACCATACCGTTTTCCACAGTGGTTGCCTCCATGAATTTTTTGAAGCCCCTTTATACTGTAATGCCTGAAACAACTCTTGCCAACTCTGTCCTTTCTGCAGTTGATTGTCACCGTCATAAACTCTTTCTTTTCCCCTCACTATAGAACTTCTGGTGAGGACACTGGAGTAACTTATCCATCTGTTGAAGACTCTCAGGAAGTGTGCACCACCTCTTTTTCCACCTCCCCGCCATCCCAGGTAGGGAAGCAAGTTCTCAGGCCGCAGTGGGACCTAGAAAATGGTGTCTGACCTTGGACACAGTCCTTTTGGTGGTGGTGATTATTTAGAGGGCGTTCTTGGGGAGGTAGTAAGAATCTTCTCATCCGCCAGGTACTGTTGCAGTGTTTCTAGTCTGTACCATTCTTAACCCACAGGATTACATGTAACTTTTACTTTCTTGGTAGTATCTTAAAATTCCCTAGAAAATCTGTCACAGACTTCCAAGTGCATTTTTACACCAGGGAGGTACTCTAACCTATACTTGTTATTTGGGGAGTTACCGTTCTTGTGAAGTGGTAAATGTGGTGTCTAATAATGGAAGGAGCCCCAAAGGAACCAAGAATTATTAGCATAAAATGCCAATAAGAAACTAGTAATGCAGTTTTTCTTAATAGTCAGCACAGTTTTCTGCCTATTCATAGTCTCGATCTGGACCTTTCTAGTCATTAACGTTTCCACTTGCATCAATTTTCAGTGTTGAGCCCAGTTTCAGTAAACCACAGACTCCAAGCCTCTCCGTTTCCCAAGAAGCAGCGTCTGTACAACTAGTTTTATACAATGTACATGATGCTGAGAAGTCAGTTTTGGCAGCTGACTGAATTTCAGGAACACATTTCTTCCCTTCAACTCCAAGTCATTTGTCTTCTGCTTCATTGCCTCAGTCCTGGCTCCACCTGCCCATCATCCCTACTATTCCCCTTTGATTTTCACATTAGACATTAGATCACATTTCACATTAGATCAATTCAGTTGCATCTTCCTTTAAACTAGCCTTAGATTGACGCTTTTCATCATCTTTTTTTGGGAGACCTAGCAAATAAATTTGTATTTTTTGGTTTGTTTTACTTAGAAAAAAAATTTCTTTTAAAATTTTCTATACTTCATTGTTTAAGAGATGATGTTGTTGTTAAGTGCCATCAAGTTGGTTGGTTCTGACTCTTGGTGACCCCTGTGTATAGGGTTTCCGAGGAGCAACTGGTGGGTTTGAAACACCAACCTTGCAGTTAGCAATCCAGCAATACTGGATTAAAATTATGGTTCTTTTTTCTTTCAAAAGCAGGAATTAAATCACACGATTAATTATTCTGTGGCATTGCACACTTTAAGGGGTGACCCACTTTGAAGGTCGTGTTTTAGACAAAATTTTCAGAAAGCAACAAAGGCTGGCAACAGCAAGAAAATCTGGTCTAGGTGTGAAGATTTTTTTTTCTTCGATGGTCTTTCCAGATTCCTCCTGTATTCTTGTATCTCAGGCTTTGGGGCTTGAGGGTAGCAGCCAAGCTCTTGATCCACTTGGTTTGTTGTGAAAAGCCGTCGAGTGTGTGCCAACTCATTGTGATCCTCTCTGCTCTCATCTTCCTCTCTCTCACTGCCTACTGCATTTCAGGCTCCAAGTATATCGAAGTTAAAGTTCATTCAACAGGGTTTTTTTTTTTAGTTTTTTTTTTTAACAAATGATAGATTTGTAAACAGTAACCTCAAGTTGTGACTTGGGATGTATGAGATGGGGAGTCTGGACCTTAACAAATCAGTTTCTCTCTCTCTGTTTCAGTGTGTCTCTCTCTGATACAGTGGAAATTTGAGGCCAAAAGTAAATTGGGAAGTTAGATTGATTTTGCTAACGGTCTCTTAGCCCTCATGGGGAGAACAGATCTTTTTCTTGGTACCAGTTGTCAATGTGTCCTATCACAGTTGAAAGCCAGTTCATGCCAAGATCGTAGCAACTGTGTGCACCATGTATGAGCACTGGCATTGCTCCCTCAGCACCTCTGATCGTGGCTGATACAGTTCAGTGCAGAAACACAAAGGGCTTCCAAAAGTGTGTGGGAACATTGAATTTGAAATATAATGGATTTTTTCCACAAGCTTTTTGAAACCCTCTCATACAAGGATACCTCATCTTACTGCATTTACATGTGTTCATTTCATGTCCGTGTCACATTTTGGCAATTCTCAAACTATTTTAAGCTTTTGCATAATACTGTTACATTGTAAGTACACTATAGGTGAGTGTCAGCATACCTTTTCTATGCACTATGATTTGCTTTATTGCAGTATCCACTTCATTGTGGTGATCTGGAACCCAACCTGCAATGTCTTTGAGGTATTCCTATATGCGTCTTGAACAGAAAGAGAAAATCATTTGCCTTTCAGTTATATAAGTAGCTCTCCATTTCTTGGTTTAACCGAGGGACTTGCATGATTAGTCAATTTAAGAACTTTACTCTGAGCTTACTGTTGTTGTTGTTAAGTGCTGTCGAGTCAATTCTGACTCATAGTGACCCTGTATAAGTTTACAGGGTCAGCTGGTGAATTTGAACCACCAACCCTGTGGTTCAAACCAGCGTTGCTTTAATTAACCCACAGCACCACACTACTTACTAGAGTACAGTAAATACATGTCATTGGGGTGTTTGCTTGCTTTGCCAGCAAATAAGAATCTTTGGGCCACTGTGTCTTTTGGACAGCTAGTTGAATCAGGAAATAGTTGTGAGTTTGAATCTGTCATTGTGACCAATTCGAACCATGAATTAACTAATTGGTAAAATTTAACGGTGGTGAAACAACAAAACTAAAGTAATCATCATATTTATGATGATAAAAATCATAACTGTTTTGAAAGTGCCCCAGCTTGTAGTCTGTCTATGTCTCCTATACCATGGGGCAGTATGAGAACACACACACACCTACCCTGGGATGATGTAGGAAACGCGCAGCTAGTTCAAGTTCCCCACCCAAATGTCAACTGATTCAACTTGTTCCTATAGATTCTAACCTGTCCCATCTAACATGATGGCCTCAGCGTCCTCATTCATTGTCAGTACCCCTCACATGTCTCTGAGGCCCCTCTTTTGGCGTCTGCCCTCTTAACTGTTGCCCTTCTTTTGACCAAAGACTGACTGCTACCTGGCTCAGGGTTCTCTGATTTGCCAAGTCATGCCAGCTTGACTCAGCTGTTTTCCTCCGGTTTGTCAGGGAGACAGGCGTGCAGTGGACTACCCTGGGATAAACATCACTTGTCCAGACCCTCCCAAGTTGTCCTTTTCAGAAGACAGACATGCGGCTGTCTTCCTGCTTCACCCCAACTTGCCATTGTTCATTCAACTTCTATTGCTGCTGCCCCTTCTAGAGTTTTCTACTTCTTTCTCAAGTTCCTTTTCTTTTTTTCTTCTGTTTCTCCTGTCTCTGTGTGTGTCTGTGCACAGTGTGTGTTTACTGTCACAAAGGCACATTTTCAGACCCCTACTCCTGTGGTGACGGATACCTTGAGGGTCCCCATGGCAGGACTGGCCTTTTCCCAGCAAGTGAGTCCATAATGGGAAGTAGGGGCTCTAATCAGATGGCATCTCTTGATGTAAAGACCATAAAGTACAGGGTGTGGTGGTTTCAAGTCTCAAGTGCTGTCTGGGGTATTTTGAGGCTGGTGATTGACATAGTCTCAGCACCAGAGCCCAGAGTAGGCTTTGGAGATTGCTCCTCCTCCTGCCATTGATGTGAAAAGTACTTGGGACTATTTATATTGTATTTGCAAGTAAATAACCCAAGACAGTATTCATGCTTTTATAAATATAAATAGGAACCCTCCTGTGCACAGAGGAGGTATAGGATATGACTAAAGAAGCTGGCCTTCTGTTCCAAAGGGGCCTCAAGGGCAAGGGAGGAAATAGAATGACTTTGGAAAAACTGATCACTTTAATGTCAAGTTTTGCCCTGGCTTGTATACCATCTGTCTTTTGGGCTTGAAATGGATACAGTTAGCTGAGGCCCTGGGAAACCAATGAGCCACAAACTCCTGTTAAGGTCTTTGGGATGCTCCAGAGCAGGGAATCCCAGCCCCAGTACCAGCAAGCCTGCATTTTCTTATCTAAAAGTGTCTAGCTTGATCTGTCTTTGAGCCATCCACCAGACCCCAGGTGCTGTGGGAATGAGGACTGGGAGCCATGCCTGATCCACCATACTGATAGTGGTCATTAGTCACCTGCTATGATGGCCTGTTTTCTCCTCTGCCTCTCCTCTGCCCCTCTTTGTTTTTCTCTTGCTTAGCTATCAAGCTCTCGCCTTTCCTATCAGCCTGCTGCCCTGGGCGTTGGATCAGCTGACCTGGCTTATCCAGTAGTGTTTGCTGCTGGCTTAAATGCTACACACCCTCACCAGGTATCTCTGAAGATGGGGAGGACCTTGGGGTTTCCAGTGCTGCCTTCCTGGCCCGGAGTCAGTTGAGGGTCCTCTTTAAGACAGCAGTATTCTAGGTGTGCTGAAGAGCAGCTCTTAAGTAACTGAGAGGACTGAAACAACCTCCTGTGAGAGGAAGGAGAAAAAGAAAGACGTTCGATGTTTGTAGTGTTTTCTGCCTCCATAGTCTGTGCCTGTGTCTTCCTCTAACTGGGTCCCAGAGAGGATAAAGAGCCAGGGTTTCCTGCCCGTTTGGTGGCAACTTTGGTGACAAAAAAACTAGAGGGCAGACACCATCATGTGGGGACATTAGGTCCCCCTCCTGCCTGATTCTGCTTTGAGTCACTGTAGCTTTCCTTTTTCCACCAAAGCTAATGGTTCCTGGGAAGGACGGCGGGGTACCCCTTGCTTCCAACCAGCCTGCTCACGGCACCCAGGCTGACCAGGAGAGATTGGCAACTTACACCCCTTCTGATGGGGCCCACTATGCTGCCACACCGTCCAGCAGGTGAGTTTCTGGTCATCTTTGCTCTGACCCTGCTAGGCCAGCCAGGGGCCTATTTGCTGTCATAAGCATGTGCTTATTTGGTGCCAGTAAAGACTGACTTCCAGCATCAACTGTGGTGTGGCATTTGTTTGCAAAATGTGAAACCCTTAGCATTCCCAAATAAAAATCTTATTTCAATTGTGGAGTTTGGTGAGGAGTCACCCTGGTCAGGGCAGTTGGGCCATACGTCTGGTATTGTTAGCTAGTCATGGGAGCCTAGGCACCAGCTGGTGTGTGACAAGTCTGGCCTTGGGTATGGTTCTTGTCACCCTCAATCAATAGAAGAGTCTTCGGATGCTTCCCCTTACCCATATAGTCAGTCTTCTGGTTCTTGAGGACTTGAAAAACAGGGCCACCATGCCCTCAAGTCTGGGGCCAAAAACTACAGAGACCTTGATTAGGTCAAAAGAGAAAGTTCTCATAATCCCATTCTGTAGAAATCACCACCGTTATCTCCTTTCTGAAAAAAATGAGAAGATCTCTGGAGAGTTAAGTCATATGCCTGAGATAGTTCACAAAATGGTGGTGCAAGGGCTCGAACCTCTGACTCCAAAGCCTGAGCTTTCTTTCCATTCCATGTAGAGCTCTTCCCTGGGAAGCTGAGCACTCTCTTGACCTGCTTTGCCCTCCCTTGAACAGTAAGGCACCAGAGATGAGATTGCACTGCCCTACCACATCCTCAGTGAACTTCCTGATAATAGAAATTCCTGAGACTTTTTTTTCTTTCCCACGGTGGGGTGGTGGGAGGGGAATTTTCTGGAAAGACATTTTTGGTACCATCCTTCAGGAAAAAATCTTTCATTCCTGACCTTTCAACCTTCAGTCCTCTCACTCATCCTTCAAACAAATGTCTGTGAGTCATATTACTGGCCAGTTTTCTGAGCCAGAGCCCCTTGAATAGTTCAAGATAGGACCCTGTGTTTGTTGTTGTTGTTGTCAGTGCTGTGGAGTCGGTTCTGACTCATAGTGATCTTGTATAGGGTCTCCAAGGAGCAACTGATGGTTTTGAACTGCCAACCATGTGGTTTGTGGTCCAGTGCTGACCCTGCAGTGTCACACCAGGACTCCAGGACCTTGTGTGTTAAGTGTCGTCGAGTTGGTTCTAACACATAGTAACCTTGTCTAGAGTTTCCAAGGAGCAATTGGTGGATTTAAACCACCTACCTTAACAGTTGGAACTGACCTTGCAGTCCAGGGCATTATCCTGCAGTGCCACACCAGATCCCGGTGTTGGTTGTTGTTGAGTGCCATCGAGTCAGTTCCGACCCATAGCGATCCTGATATGGGGGTTCTTAAATGCAGGCTGTAAGAGCTCGAGCCTGTCCTTGAACCTGGTCCTCCCTGCCAACAAGTCCAGACAACTTGGACTGGAGAGTCCTCTTTGTCTTTGAGCACCTGCTTTTGACCGGGCCGCCTCTGTAATTTTTAGCTTCTTGCAGGGTGTGAGTGCTGCCCGGTCAGCTTACCCTCACTGTAAGTGCCCATTTCAGCTTCTTATTGTCCCTCCTCCCTCACTATCCAGGATTCACTGTCAGTCCTGAGGGGTGCTAGAGGGAAAAGGTAGGAGCAGCCAAATTAAGAGTTTCAGAATGAAGGGATGGTCGGGGGGTGGGGGCAGGGAGGGGGAACCTGGTACACAGCACCAAGAACCTGAGCCCAGGTGATTTGTCCAGTGTGGAGAGAACCCCGACTGTCTAAGGAATCTAGTGCATGACTCTGAATAATGCTATGTGCTTTCTGAGGCCATGCTTAGAAATGACATTGAACTAGGAACTGTACAGTCTTGTAGTATTTTAGATAACTCCCACCAATGGCAAAATGGAAGAAAAGCTAACATAGTGGGACTGACCATGTAGTAGATTATCACTAAAATGACAGTTGTTTACACGCTGCCTTGTGTGTGTTTGTGATCACCATGTGCATCATAACTGAGTATTTTAGATTAGATATCATGTCAGTTTTACACCTTTTTAAGTTCTACTCACATATGCGTAATTTCTAGTTCAGGAAACTCCGTCCTCTGCTGTCAATTTCAAAGGCAGGTGACAGGTGGCAGCAGCCACACCACATACTGCCACTGCCCACTGGTGCGCACCAGTAGGGGTCACCTCCTACCCTAGGCTACATGGTCCTGCTGTGGTTTGTGAGTGAGTTCCAACTTGACCTTTTTTCTTCAGTGAGGATACTGAAACCGTGTCAAACAGCAGTGAGGGACGGGCCTCCCCCCACGATTTCTTGGAGACCATCTTTGTCCGGAAAGTGGGAGCTTTTGTCAACAAACCAATCAACCAGGTGATTCTTCCTACCTCTGCCATCAATGATCATGTCAAAGTTCTGAGTGAGGCCCTGGATCTCAGAGTTCTTAACCCAGGGTCTGTGGCGTGACTAAGGTTACATGCAAATTGTGTGTCTACACATGTATGTAGGTGTGTAAGTTTTCGGGAGTGTGTTAATAGCCTGTGACACCCCTTCAGAAAAAGTGAAGAACTATTTTTTTGTGATCTTTTAAGCTTCCAATGGAGAGGGAGAGAAGACAGTATTTCAGGTCAAATCGTTCCTTGTACTTGCCATTCCCTCAGCTTTTAATGCGCATCAGTTTCTTCAGTGCTGCCAGTAAAGCACAGTTGTTACTGAATTACTGTGGATCCAGCTTGGATGGCTGAATTCCCAGGGTCCCAGGGAGCCCTAGCCTGCGATGATCCTGGTGGGGGGACAGGAGAGCTTGAAGTCTCCAACAGGACAGGAAAGAGAGGTGCAGCCTGAGCAGCCTGGGTGGGCAGGCACTGGCGGTCTGTAAGGACCACGGGTAAGCTGGGGGAGGCTGGACCCTTATGTTTTTCTCCTGTGTCTCTCCAGGTGACTCTGACCAATTTAGACATCCCCTTTGCCATGTTTGCTCCCAAGAATTTGGAGCTAGAGGAAGCAGATCCCATGGTGAGCCCACTGTTGACTAAGAGCTTCCCGGTAGGTAGTGTAGTAGTTGTCCTAATTCTCCGTCGACCATAGGCCATGCTCCGTGGCTTCAGGATTTGTAGCCAGTGTTGGGTCCCTTACCAAGTCCCCAATTGTTAGTAACTTGCATCCAGTTCATAAAGCCAGCCCTAACTCTCCATATCCTGAAACCTTCAACAGGTGAACCCTCCGGATTCTCCAGAGACAGGATCTCCTCTCCAAGGCAGCCTGCACTCACAGGGCTCTAGCGGGGGCAGTAGTGGCAATACCCATGATGATTTTGTGATGATCGACTTCGTAAGTTGCCCTCACCATCTGTGACCCTTATTGTTCCAGGGAAAACAAACCTCAGAGCATCCACTCGGTCACTTTCTACGAAAGTACACCTTATCCTCACTACTTCATTGTCTGCATTTCATATTTTTAACAATAACTTTGACGTACTATTCAGCTCTTTTGATGTAACAACATGCACCTGGCAATAGTGAATGCCAAGGTTTGAGGCGAGAGCAGCGCTGGTGTTCGTGGTTCAGCTGTGTGTCAGCAGCCTGGGCCGTGGTGCTCAGTGGTCTCAGTTATGGAATGGTGTGGTCATCCTCCATTCTCATGTAACGCCCATTTTACTTCACAACCTCGTCTTTGAAACCTAACCATGTCCATAAATGAGGAGAGGGTGTAGACTTGGAACTAAGGTTTCCTTCTAGGGATTAGGTGGCCTGGTGTACAGATAGAGGTGATCGGACAGATGGAGGCCCAACTGAGGAATTGTATATGGGGAATCTGCCCCTAACAGGGGAAACATTAGGCTTTTGATGTCAAGTCTTGGGTTGTAAGTTACGCCAGGACTCCTTAGTGAAATGCAGCTCCACACAGATACGTACTTAGGGATCTGTGTGGTGTACCTGAGTGGGCAGCCCTGAGTAGCTCCTCCTCCCTGCATTTTCCTCTATGGTCCAAAGGAGAGACTAAACTGGATTTGTCTTGTTTTTAAGAAACCGGCATTTTCTAAAGACGACATTCTTCCAATGGACTTGGGGACCTTCTATCGTGAATTTCAGAACCCTCCCCAGCTGAGCAGCCTCTCCATAGACATTGGGGCACAGTCCATGGCTGAAGACTTGGTATGGAGACCCTTCCCATGCTGGACCTCACCCTCTGATCTTTCCACAGACCTAGAAATTTCTTCCACTTGACTCCTCGCCCCCTCCCCATAACCCATGGTGGGTTACATGTTGGGCCACTAACCACAAGGTCAGCAGTTCAAATCCACCAGCTGCTCCTCAGGAGAAAGATGAGACTTTCTGCTTCTGTAAAGATTTACAGCTTCAGAAACCCTATATAGGGTTGCTATGAGTTGGAACCAACTGATAGCACACAACCAAACCAACCAACCAACCCACCCCTACACCCCCACTTCCCTTCTTTCCTGAAACAGGAACAAGACACGTGTAGACTATTATCTTTTTTTGATCACACTGGAGAGTGCATTGTGCCTGGCAGTCATTATCTTGAATTTGCTTGTATTCAGTTCTTACTTTTCCCTGCCCGTCTCCGCATTAATTTAGACATGTGCTCCAGTAGTTCCAAGTCTTCTGTCTGCCACTTTCTGATGCCATGAAGCCATGCTGCTCCAGCAGCTCCATGAATTCAGCATTTAACTTGCCAGGCAGATGCCAAGGGTGCAGACCAGAGGAGACTAGGAAGTCCTGAATATGCAAGCCCATTCCCTTGGCTACTGGTTCTCTTGTGCACCCAGAGGTGCTGATATGAACTGTGTTGACCACATCTCTGTTTAGGGTATTTCCTACTTCTTGCCTCTGGAGGGCAGTAGAGGGCCCTGGGAAGCCACAGACCCCAGAAGGCCTTGCACCACAAGATGCCAAGGCTCCTCCTCTGCCTGAGGTGGCAGGTGGCCTCCACAGAAATTAGAGGCCCCAGGGGTAGGTAGCGGTCCTTGATATGCACTAACCAGAAAACATACTGAATAATGATTACCATAATGCATATTTTTGGCATTAACTTTAATTGAGGCTTTTGAAGTACTAAGCAGTGTGCTGATTTAGCTTTACAGGAATTCTCAGCAAGGAAGTACAAGGGAACTTCAAAAAATTCATAGAAAAATTCCCGTTGTCTGTTCATTTAATTTTTCCACGAAATTTTTGAATTCCATCATAGGTTTTTGTATTTTTCCCAGTCCATAGATGAGGAAACTGGTATTGTGAATCTCCTTTCTTTGTATTATGAGTAAATAACCTGCCTGGGGCCCCATGGGCCAGTAGAATGGGGCTCTGACCCCAGAGAGTCGGGCCTTTGGCCAAGGACTCCCCTGCCTCTCATTTGAAATGAGCCTTTCCCAAGTATCTGATACCTGTCCTCCACCCATGAAATTCTCTGGTTAGTCTCAAGGTGGAGGTAGGCTCCTTGGCAGGGTCTGTCTTTTGTTTAGATGGATACACGAGGACAGTTAGTGCCTGCTGACTGCACAGTGTCTCACACTGCGTACAGTTCTCTCCTCCTGTGTTTCTCTCCTGTTCACTATTCTCCCCCTCAGCCCTCTCTAGCCTACCTCCTGCTCTCCCTGTTCAAAGATACAGCTTCCCAGGCCTCACCACAGACTTGCTGGCTCAGAATCTCTTGGGAGCACAATTGGGACAGCCTTATTCATATTCCTGGTGCACTGCAAAGTTTGTTGAGAAGTCTTTCACAAATGTGTCTTTATCTGTGGAGTTTCTAAGCTGCTTGGATGGCACTGTAAGATCAGCACTGGACTGCTAACCATAAGTTTGCTGGTTCAAACCCACCAGCTGCTCCTTGGAAAACCTTTACAGGGTTGCTATGAGTTGGAACTGACTTCACGGGGCTTATTAACAGATTCAAGCTCCTTGTTGTGCTCTGGTGTTAGTTTAATCTGTGCCAAGGTTAGTGCTTATTGAATTCTCCACGTCGTCTAGTTCTGGGCTTCCCTGGGTTGTTCTACACCCCTCCTCAGAGCATGGTGGCCATAGCCCCCCAGAGTCTTCCCAGAGCCTGGTGGACACGACCCTGCTTCCCCTGGCAGCAGTGCTCAGCTGGGCTCCACTGGGCTTCTGACCCCCAGGGCCCTGCCTGATCCTGGCTCTTCTCGCCCTCCCGCTGCAGGACTCATTACCTGAGAAGCTGGCTGTGCACGAGAAGAATGTCCGAGAATTCGATGCCTTTGTGGAGACCCTGCAGTAAAGGTTGGGGCCACAAGTACCCACAGCATCCCCTTTTTTGTGGTCCCAGGGGACAGGGAGCTGCCTCCTCTTCTGCTGTTCCTATTCCTCATTCCACTCCAGGCCAGTGGAAGGAAGGACGGTTCACCCGTGGAGGGTCCAGAGTCTTGCTCCGGCACCTCCTGGAGACGCCATGGCTGAGGCCAGGTCCTGTAACAGCCTTGGAAAGGACTCCCCCTCTGGTCTTGGAGATGGAAGAACCCTTTGTCACAAAGGGCCCTAGCAGGGCATCTACGTACACCATCCATCCCCATCCACTTCACCAAGGGCAGCATCCCCTTTACTGCTTGCCAGCTCTCACCAGGCTCCTGTCCTGGGCCTGTCCTGCAGCTGGCTGGTCACCTGCTATTACCATCAACTACTACGTTCCAGCTGGTGGCCCAGGACTGGTGTGGAGGCTGTAAGGGGAAGGAGACAGTGCCGGGAGGAAGGAAAGCAGGGTCCCTTTAGGGTCTCCCTGTTGACTCCTTTAGTTCCTGGTATCTTCTTCCTCCTTCTCTGTCCCCTTCTCTCCGATCCCAGTGCCTCTGCTTGTGGCAGTGTGACAGGCCTGCCTGCCCATCCCTGGCATGGGCTCCAAGTAGCCCTGGTGGCTGCCTGTGTCCAGCTCCTTAGCTACATAGGATGTCAAAACAGAATACTACACCTCCAGAATTTTGTCGCTGGGTGTCACAGCAAAGGTTCTTCTCTTACCCCCTCTACCCCCAGCCCCCATTGCTGCTCCCTGGTTATAAAATATAGTAAATATTTATTACTTTCAGAGACGTCAGATATTTTATAGAGAAAATACATTTGAGGTTAGAGGTTTCACTTGGGTAAAGTGGGGCCTCTTCCTGGAGCAGGGACCACCTCCAGTGGTGGTTCTTTAGGATCCCCTTGCTGCTCTCAGGACCCTCCTTTCTATGACACCCAAGATGGGCTCCAAGAATAAGGCTGGCATAGGAAAGCTGAATAGGAAAAGCATCCTCCCAGATTTGCTGCATTGAACTGATGACAAGCTATCCTCGGACATCTCTGTGTTTCTGGTGAGGCCTGGAATCTTCACAGTTTCTACCAAGTGACTAGCTCCATCCCAGCAACCCAGGATTCCTGGGGGCTTAATGATGACCCACCAGAGTTGAGCCCAGGGACTTGGCGTGTGCCCCCAGCAGACTAGAGAAGGTCAGATGTCCTTGCTGCTGGCATACTTGTTCCTGATTCTTGGGCCTGGCTGCCACCTCCCTTCAATCCCAGGGCCTGCACACTGCCCTGGGCTTCATTAGTTGGATTGTCTCCTTGTTGAGAAACCAAAGCTGGGCATGTGACTGACCTAACCCTTCAGGTATTATTACTTGATGAAGTCAAGTGCCTAGCCTCACCTACCTGACACCTATCCTTCTCCCAACCTGTTGGTAGCCCTGGCTAAGGAAAACTCCTCCTGGCCCACCTGGGGGTCCCTGGCAGCATCTGTTTTTCAGTGGAGCAGGTGGCTCTCGACTGCTTGGTAGTAACTGCATGTGATGCTGTCCCACCTGCAAGGCTGACCTGAAGGCTGGCACAGGCTCTGCTGTCCCCATTGGGGCTGAGCCCTGTGCATGCTTTCTGCTGACACACAGAAACGTCCTAGCAGTGTGTCCAACGGGCTGGACAACGGGGTACTTTCCACAGCCTGCTAAACCCTTGCACATGTTCCCCTGAGGGCCCAGACTGAGGAGTAGGGAGGCCCCTGGTTAAGTTATTGGTAGCCCCTCATCTCAGCTGTCTTTCTGAGGTCTTGCATGCAAAGGCCTGTTAGCCATTGTTCCAAACTGTCTTCTTTGACGACTTTTGCCAGTGCTCCATCAGTGACAGGCCAGGGAGGCTGAAGCTCTGACTTCAGGCTGGGTCTGGGAGGAGCAAAACAACTGTCAAGGCTGGCCTTGCCCTCAGCCTGCTAGTTACAGGGATAAGTCCCAGACAGACTCTCTTCGGCACCTGGGGCAGGGCTAGGACCAGACATCTTCCCCTGGGGGGCAGTGTCCCTCCTCCAGCCTACCTTGTTTGGAAATACTGAGCTACAGTTTAAAATGTATTCACGAGATTTCCAATAAATTGTTTTCTGTACTTTATAGCCTCTTGTCCTGCATGTTGTCCGAACACCTTGCCTACCTCCCACTGCGTGCAGGTCTGCTTCCCACAGGCCTGTAGTAAACTGCTGGGCAGGGATCCATCTCCTTTCCCTCTGCTTCTCAAATTCTCCCCTTGTGTGTGAATGCTCGCTGAGACAATGCCGGACTTGTAGTCAGATCTCCATACAGTGGTAACTATTAGCATCTGCTGCCCCATCCCCACCACGTCTGGAGAAGGTAGCCTCAGACAACCAGCAGATGGGCAGGGTTTCCAGCAGAAGCCAGTGCAGGGAGTTGAGGCTGAGCAACCAGAGAGAAGGAGGGTTGTGGGAAGCAGCAGGAAACTGCCTAGATCTGACAAACAGCTCCAGTCAGGGCACAGAGGGGTCAGGAGAAACGGAAGAGCCCTGAAGGGACTACTCTCTGGTTGCCTGGGGGCTTTTGCTGCCAGGGGCTCTGCCCTAGCAAAGCCAGCTTCCGCCTCCTAGGCTGGGCATGCTGTTGAGGGATGGAGCTGAAGGTGGACCCTGTGTCCCTGCACAAAGAAGGTGCTAGAGAATTAACTGACCTGGAACTGGACAATCACGGCATGGGCATCCCTCTATCAAGCCAGCCCTCAGGACAAAAGACAAATTTTTAAATTCTAATCTCAGCGTAAAACCAGGGCTGATAGGGTGGGGCACACCCAATTCTGCCAGTGAGGGTGCTTGAGGGCCCTTGCCTATTAAACTGGGTGTGAGACTGTTCCCACCTGGGAGTGCTCAGATCTGGCCATGCAGGCAGCTGGGTTAGAAACAGTGAGACTGTTCCGGTGGTCCATCTTCAACAGAGAGCCTAGGACAGCTATGCTCAGCTGTCCCAGGTCCAGAGGAGTGTGCTTTCCCTCTAAGGTGTCTCCTGACTCTTACCCATGAAGAGCTGCAGTTGCTCAGACAGTGGTCCTGCAGGGGCCCAGCTCAGAGAAACAGCTCAACTGCCCCCTCTCCCCACCCATCTCATGCTTATTTCTCTGGTCCAGTCACCCAGGGGAGGGCTGAGCAGAGCCTGGAAGAGAGGAGGTCACCAGTACCTTCTGCCTTGAGCTACTTGGGAGGCCACAGTTGTGCAACAGGACTGGTTTCCTGGAGCACCATGCCAGTGTTTATAACCATCGTCTTAACAACAGTGCCTACTTCCCCAGCCCGGGCAAGCTCTGAGGGAAACCTGCAGCTCCAATTAGCGGCAAGCAGCAACAAACAGCTGGAACTTGGCTTCTGGGCCAAGTTAAAAGGATGCTGTGAAATGGTGTCCTCCTGCCTTGCAATGACAAACCATTTTTAAAGCAAAACAAAACCTCAAAAGAAGACAGGGAAGGTGGGCTGAAAGTCTCCATTCAACTAAGTGGCAGGTGGAGACAGCCTGGCCTCTCAGGCTGAGGGGCAGGAGATGAAGGTTCCAGTTGTCCCTGAGGTTGGGGCAGTTACTTCCTTCATCCATGATAAGACAATCAACCTGGCTACCACTGAGCTCTGACTGTCAGAGCAGCTGTTATCAGATGAGGCAATGCCCTCAGCTGGGGCCAATTCTAGCACTATTACCAGATGGCACTGGTGACAGAAGCAGCATTCATACCCTAGTCCAACTCCAAAACCCATCCTGTTGTCCACCACAGACCACTGTTTCTCTCCCTAGCCTGACCTAGACAATTAAACATCTGGTACTTTGCAGCTGGGGGCAGAAAACACTGGCCATAGAGCCAGCTGGAATGTTCCAGGTGCCAAACAGTGGAAATGTGACTGTTCACACGTGTTGCCTGCAAGATGTCAGAAAGCTGAGCTCAGACCCACTGCACAAATGATTGACGATGAGTGGGGGTTTTCTCTACTCTCCCCGCAACAACACACACAAATCCCATCAAGCCCTGAATTTCCATGCCCCACTTGACTCCAGCCAGTTTTCCATCTCCATTTTTATTGAAATACAAAAAGTGCAAACTGAAATAACATGATTGGTGCCAAGGACGTCATTAAGTATGAATGTGAACACTTGGTTCACAGTATGAGCGCCCCCTGGTAAGGACCAGTGGGGCAGGGGACAGGAGAAAAGACCAAGGGGACACTAATGCTCCCCATCCACTTGATAGACAAAGGAGGGCAGAAAGCAGAGTCCAGGTCCAGGGCTGGACACAACCAGCAGCAGCTCCCAGACCCCACGAGTCCTGACACCGGTCACTAGGGGGCAGGCTCTGGTGCTGCCCTGCCTGCACAAGGATGTAGGGGCAGAGCCACATGCTGGTACTTCCTGCTACCAGAGACAAGGGCCCTCTGAGTTTGCCAGGGAGGAGTGTATTATGAAGGGACACAGCTGGAATGAGGGCTCTAACCATGACTGGGCTCCAGGTCTGATGACTGACAGCAGGTTCCTGGGGCCCCATTGCAGGGAGGTTGCTAGAGCTAGAGCTCATTTGGCAGGGCCTGACCTCAGCAAAGTCTCCTCTGCTGCAGTCCTCCCCCAACACCCCCCAGATCTGAGGCATTGAGTCACCTCTGGCCAGAGCAGGAACCAGTATGACTCCACAACAAACAAGTCCACTGAGCTTATGATTAAGGACCCGCCTAATTGGGAAAGGGCTGATTGGACTAGGACCTTTGGCAGTGGGGCTGCGGAGTCTATATGTATGGCAGGGCTTCAAAAAGTTCATGGAAAAGGTGATGGAATTTTCCCATGAACTTTTTGAAGTCCCTCATACTGAGAATGGACGCTGGACTCAGCTGGGTGTCCCTCTGAGCTCTGTCACCGAGCTGCCAGTCCTGGCAGAACCAGGGGATCAGAACCCCTTGAAGAAGGCTGACCTAGGGCAGAAATCGAAGGCAGCCTCCATTCCAAACACCCAAGGCTGAGCCTGCAGAAGGAAGCATGGAAGCAGGGGGCCTGTTTGCAGACCTCACTGTGGGACTCTGGTCAGGCCCAAACCAAGCAACCTTCCATTCTGCAGCAGTCTGAAAGGAGAGGACCAGCCCCAACTACCAACCTGCACTGAGCTGGTCTTCCATGGTCACCAGGGAAACAGAGCAGGAGAAACCAGGAAAGGCTGGGCTGGGTTCTATCTGTCTCCAGCTAGGGAAGCCCAGTCCAGCTCTGGAGCACCAGCGGGAGCCAGGACTCCAAGAGGCAGTGACAAGTATAAGGCGAAGAAAAATGTCTATGGTCGTAGCGAGGCCTCCGGGGCCATGAGGAGGGCTGGACAGAGGGAGGAGGAGCTGCCAGGTCTGCGGGCCCCAGCTTCTCTGTCCCAGGGGTTTCACAGCCCCCTCCTGTTGGGCTGCTGCCAGGAGGGAGAGTCCAAACGGGGTGTCAGAGAAGGGAGCTGGTGGGTGGGGGCTGGGTTCACAGCCCCTTGGAGTCAGAGCTAGGGAACAACTCCCCCTGATGATCCAACAGGAACTTGGTAAAGGTGTTGATGGGATTAATGGCTTTGAGGGTGATGGCGGCATCCTTGGCCCACAGCAGGTTAGGGCCAAAGACCACAGCCAGGTTGGTATTGTTCATCTTGTTCTGGTCGCTGTGGGCAGAAATCTGTGGAGGGAATGTGGGGTTGCAGCAGGCAACCAAGGAGCCTGCCTGCCACTCCTGTGGCCACGTGGTCCTTCCCCCTGCCACACTCCACCCAGGTGAGGCCTTACCTGGACCAGGAAGGCAGTCAGGAAGCGAAGCACCTGGTAGTTCTCCTCTGGCAGTGTCTGGAGGGCCTGCAGGGTCACCTCCACTCTCTGGCCCTCATCAATGTCTGTGAGGAACGGGGCCCAGGTCACAGGGCTGTGGGGATGGCCACACAGGACCCTGGGCTGCCCTGGCACAAGGCAAGAGGGAAGACCCAGCCAGAGTCCACCGTGGGAAGATACGGGTGGGTGGAGGGATGGCCAAGACGCCTGCTGCAGGTCTGGCCCTGGCCCTAACAGAGGAGGTGGCAGCTGGGGAGGACAGAGAGGGGCACTCACTGAGGAATCCCACCACGTGGGGGTAAAGGTCAAAGGTGAGCAGGGGCTCAGGAAGCTCCCGGAGGAAGGTCTTGAGGATGACTGCGGGCAGGTGCAGCTCATTGTACTGGGCGAAGTCGACTGGCAGCCCTGGAGGAGACGGGATGGGACCGATGCCGGGAATCTGGACACCAGGCCTGTCCTGAGGGCCCTCCCCCCTGCATCTGTGACAAGGGACCCAGAGCACAATCAGTCACCCTCCCCTCTGGACCCAGGGGCAGGCCTGGGACAGCCAGGCAGGAGTGGAACCCAGACACTTGTGACAGGGACAGATTCGAGAGCCTTGTGAGCAGGGCAGAAGTAGGCAGAGAAGCCCTGGCAGGCATCGGGCCCCACACACGCTCTGCTCACCCATGTTGTACTTCTGCTGCACTTCCCGCACAACCTGGGTGCTGGCTGACCTCCGGAAAATCCCCTCGGTGGTGAGAGCTGGAAACAGCAGGGCTGGTGAGGCTCTGGCTCAGGGCCAAGGCCATCTCAGTGGGGATCAGTGGGGTGCTGCATTGAAGGCTGGGCCTGGTACTCACCGTGGGCCTGTAAGTAGCTGACAGTCTCCCGAAGCACTAGTGGAATGGGCCCCTGCTCTGGGCTTTTCTCCTGGAGGCTGCGGAAGCAAAGCAGTGAGGCTCTGCAGCCCTCCAGCCCCAGCCACCAGGCTTGCCCACAATGCCCATACTCACAGTTGCAACGAAACCCCAAACTGCTGGTTGGGCAGAGGTGGCCGTGGTGGCATGGGCTTGGGGGCTGTTGCAGGGCTCTTCTGTGTGGATTTGAGGAAGTCATCATACCTGAGGGACACATGGGAGTCAGGCCCGCTCCCTGGGCTCTGTGGTTGATGTGAGGCATGATAGGGTTACTGCACTTAGATTCTTTCATTTCATCCTTGAGATAACACTCCTTTACACAGCAGTAGGCGAAATCTTGAAAGAGATTCCGTCACATAACTTTGGATTTGAACTTGCATGTCTGACCTCACAGCTGTCCTTTAATCATTCCTCCCACTTCTGGTCATCCCAGGATCCCATACCTGGCACACCTGCCTGTGTGCCCACCGCCACCCAGCACCCCTCACTTGAGCACTTGGCGAGGGATCCCCAGTTGCTCCAGCTTCACGTGCTCACTCAGCTCGCTCAGGTAATTCACATAGAAGATCTTCCGCCCAAACTTGAAGCTGCCCATAGAACAAAGAGCGGCAGTCAAGGAGTGAAGGTGCCCTCGGGAGGCAGCAGCCCGCCCAGACCAGTGCTGGCCCCTGTAGGGATCTGCCTGAGGCAAAGCAGAGCCCAGGGCCGGCTCACCTGATCAGAGGTTTGAAGAGGATAAGCAGGGTCTTGATGAACATGGTAGGGTGCACAATGTACAGGGCCTTGATGTTCTTCTTGTACCTGTGGAAGCAGGTGCGTGGCTCAGGCAGGTGCGTGAGATTCGGATCTGACTGCCCATGAGGCGAAACCTGTCAGGTAGGAGCCACTGTGGTCCCATGTGGTAGATTAGCAAGTGGAAGCTCAAAGAAGCCAATCACCCCCAAGGTCAGAGTGAGTACACAGAGGACCCGGGGCTTAAGCTCAGGTCCTTCCAACTTCAGACTCTGCATTTAGCCCTGCGGGGGCACCTGGGTAAGTGCCTGCCAAGCATATGGCCGCTGTCTCCAGAGTCACCCCCCCCACACACACCAACCCACTTGCGGTCAAACTCGCGGTAGGCGTCTCGGAGCCAGCTGAGGGAGGGCTTGTTGTCACTGGTCAGGCCGTGGTGCAGGTAGAGCAGCGTGTAGTCACTCTCCACATACTGGTCCAGTGTGTGCTTCAGGTACCTGACCGGAAGACAGCTCTACTCAGGTGGTGCTGGGGCACCCATGGCACAAGTGGGTCCCATGAAGAGACAGGAGAAACCAATGTCCCCGCTTAGATGACAGCCTTCCCTGAGAACACCTCCCCTGGCACTGCACTGCAGGTCTCTCCTGGCGGCCTACTGAGTCCCTGAGGAGACTCTGGAAGACCCCCAGAGCAGGGGCTGCACACAACACAGGAAAAATTTCTGAGTACCAACTAGAAGTCAGGAGATCAGGAATCTAACCCAGCTCCTCTCACATACTTGTGGTAAAATGGGAATACAATTTCCCTCAGAGGGCTGCCCCAAGGAGTCAATAATAGTGAGGATGTTGTTAAGTGCCATCCAGCCGGTTCTGACTCAGATCATGTATGTACAGGGTTTCCGAGAAGTGACTGCTGGGTGGGTTTGAACTGCCGACCTTGTGGCTAGCTTTAATGCTTATCCTACAGCACCACACCGAGTTCCATAAGAATGATAGCCAGCATTTATTGCAATTACAATTTTGGTATCTACAAAACGCTTCACATGGTGGCATATGGGTTAACTGCAAGGTCAACAGTTCGAATCCACCAGTCACTCACAGGAGAACGATGAGGCTTTACAGTCTTGAAAACACTATATAAGGTCACTATGAGTCAGAACTGACTTGCCGATAGACACAACAACAGACACTTCACATTCATGACCTTATTCCATTCCCTCCTGCTATTAATGACAAATGAGGACAATGAGGCTCAGAAAGACCAAGTGCTCTGCCAAAGTCACACAGCATGGAAAAGTCTGGAGGTGAACCATCTGACCCCACAACGCAAACCCACTGCCAACAATTCGTACTCAGAGTGACCCAAGAGGGCAAAGTAGAACTTCCAAATTCCACAGACCTTCCAAAGCTGTAAATCTACATGAGCAGACAGCCTTGTTTCCAAGTAGCTGGAGGGTCTGAACCACCAATCTTGTGGTTAGCAACCCAAAGCTTAACCCACTGCACCAAGAGCCTAACAATTTGAGGCTGAGTGCAGAATCACTGTGCCTGAGGGGCCCTCCTGGCCAGGGGGTCCACTTTCGAGCTGGAGTCCCTGGGCTTTTAGTGGACCTGAAAGCCACATCCCCTCCGGTCCCAGTGCTCACAGCTCATCCACAATCCCCAGGGCCCCAGCACACACACGGCATACCTATATGCACACACCCATATGATAGTGCCCACCTGAAGGGGAGGATTAAATGAACCAGAATTCAAGAAACGGAAGGGGGTCCAGTGTGAACTTTCTGTTCAGGAGTGGCAGACCAGCCAGCATCCAGGCTTAGGCAGGCAGGAATGCCATGGGCCTCCAAAGTGATGGAAGGGGCAGGGAGGAGCCCAGGGAAATGCCCAAGCATTTAACCACGTGCCTAGATACAACTTGGCTTAGTCCAAAGAAGGGAGCCCGAACTCTGATCTGGGGGTGCTGGGCCCGCAGCACACTGGGGCCTGGGAGGTGACTGGTGCTGGAATATTACTGTTCCTGTGTGGTGCTGGGGTTTAATGCGCTGGACTGCAAGGTCAGTTTGAATCGCAAGGTCAGCAGTTCAAGCTCACTATCACTAGCCACTCCTTGGAAACTCTATACAGGGTTGCTATGAGTTGGAATCGACTCAAAGGCACTGAACCATAACAACAATACACAGCACTATGTGATTTACAGACGGCTGTCATATGGAAAGATGGCATCTTAAAACTACAAACATAGCAAATATGCCACTGCAGGATAATGCGCTGGACTGCAAGCTTGGCTTGAACTGCAAGGAGGGATGTTCAAACCCACCTGCTGCTCCTCAGAAACCCTAGACAGGGTTGCTATGAGTCGGAACTGACTCAACAGCTCTTAACAGCAACAGCAATATTGAAAACAGGCATGCTGATTCCCTGATGGGTGTAGGAGCTTTGAGTCCAACAAAGTGCTATCAGAAGTGATAATAGTTTATACTGTTGACCCTATAAAACGTCTAGGAATTTATCCCACAGAAATGATCTCAGATGAACAGAAACATGTAGAAAGCAGTTAATCACAGTCTTTAAAAAATATATAATAATAGCAAAGAAAACTGAGCAACAAGAAAAATGCCCTTGGTTAAATAAACCATGGGAGATTCATAAATAGAATACAACCTTAACAGGATGTTTCTGGCGACAGAACTGATCTGTGAGGTTAGCTGTCAGGGTCGGGGACAATGAATAAGGACAAGAGGGGTTTCTGGGTTTAAATGACATGGGTGTGTCCAGTTTTTAAATGCTCAAGGTGCATTTTATAGCATGTTCATTTTTCTGCACATATTATTATATGCAAATAAAATGTTTTTTGAAGGCTAACGCTCAAAAGATAAAACGTCGTTATGCCAGATGCAAAGTGGTCTCCTCTCTGGGTGATACGTTTATAATGATTTTATATTTTTCTTTATAGTTGTCTTTGTTTATCCTTTAAGGAGCCCTGGTGGCACAATGGCTAAGCACTTGGCTGCTAGGAAAGATCGGCAGTTCAAACCCACCAGCCAATCTTTGGGAGAAAAAGACGATCTGTTCCCATAAGATGACAGCCTAGGAACCCTATGAGGGCAGTTCTACTCCATCCTCTAGGGGGAGCTATGAGTTGGAACAGACTCAATGGTACACAGCAACATTCTTTTTTATGTTGTGTTAAGTGCTGGCCAGTCAGTTCGGACTCACAGCGACCCTGCATAGGGTTTCTGAGGAGCGGCTGCTGGGTCTCAACAGCCACCTTGTGGTTCAAATCGACCTTGCGGTCTAGTGCTTATTATACAGTACCACACCAGGACTCCACCAGTTGTCTTTATCTTTATGTTGTTTCTAAATTTATATAGAGGAATCACTGCAATGAAATGATGATGTAAAGCCGGTGTCTCCCTTGTAAACTATCACTCAGTTAACAATAAAAAACAAACAAATATGTATACAGTGGTATTTCCTGTACATCAAAAACCAACCCCAACCACTGGAAAGGACAAGCAGACCAGCCTGGAGCGGCTACAAGAACAGAAGATACTTCTTGAAAGAAAGACCAACAGGAAAAATGAGGCAGACCGACTGTTACTACAAGAACAAGCAACTTGCTTGCCCAGGAAACATCAAGGCAAGTGGTCAGGTCCCCTCAGTGCAAACCCCCTTCCAAGACTAAGACTCAATGGTAGTACACGCTCTGATTGGTGACCACACTTGACACCAATAAGGGGAAGTGAGGGAAAACCAGCAATTAAGTGGCGAGCTAAGCCCTACAATGTTCAATAGACTCCTGTGAACCGGGTGGAGACCTGGTTGGCCAGCAGTGTGGCAAGACCTGGGGACTCTTGGGCCCAGTCTGTGACATAGCCACAGAGGACTAGAGCGAAGAGTGAAGTGTCCAGCTGATAAGAGGAAAGGGCATATGCACAAGAACACCCATATGTGCAGATAATACTCACTTGACCTGGCTACAATGACTGGATGATCCGAGCTCAACCAGAAGACAGAAGAGGTAAAAAAAAAAGAACAATCTGATACAATTTGATGAACTTGACCTACACCTATGGATGTAGTAGCTCAAAAGAGGGAACAAATCCTTACAGCAAGGATCATTCCCACCCCCTCCACACACAGAGTAGACAGAGATGGGTAACTTGGACATTGGCTACCCAAAATGGGGAGTGGGGTGGGGTGGGGGCGCAACAAAGGCAAGAAGTAAACGGCTTACAAGCTTTCAAGAGGGAACCTAGATCCAGAGGGCGTGGGGGAAGGTAAAATCTCCACTGAGCACTGAGTACTATACAATCTGTCTGGGCGGGGCTGATGAAAGGAAATGCAGATAGGTCTCGTGATATAATAGTGAATAATTGTTATCAGGACTGATTGTGAGGGTTGGAAATGTAAAGGTAGACATTTTATAGCATGGAGGGGAGTGATTAACTTTTCAGTCTAGGAGTGGAGGTCCCTGCGACCATCAGTGGAGAAAAGCCGAGGGCAGGACCCTACCAGGAGAAGCAGTGAAGCCAGAGACAGAGGCAGAGATGATGAGGAGAGATTGAGCGGCTGGAGACTCTAGACCCAGAGAGGGAGAGGGGCTGTGTGCTGATGACCGGGGGCAGGCTTGTAGTGTATACCCTTTGGATGCTTGATGATGCATGGAGGGGATTGTAGCCACGGCATTGAAACGATATACGATAGAATGAATGTAATACTAATGTTCTCCCATGTAAACGATCACATAATTCACAATAAAACATTTAAAAAAAAAAAAACCAACCCCAACCAGCTGCTATTGAAAAACAGCTCTGACTCACGGTAGCCGCACGTATGACAGAGAACTGCGCTCCACAGAGGTTTCAATGGCTGATGTTTTAGAAATAGATGACCAGACCTTCCTTCCCAGCAACTCTGGTGCCTCTAACCTTTGATTAGCAGCCAAGCCCTTAACCATTTGTGTTATCGGGTACTCTCATGTATACTATTTTACCTAAGCCACTCACTCTGTGAGGTGACACAATTCTTACTTTTATAGGGCTCTTAACAGACCCACCCCAAAGCATTGTTGTTTTTCTTAGGAGCCATCGAGTCATTACCAACCCATAGCAACCCTATGCACAGCAGAACTAAACACTGCCCATAACTCAAAAGCCATCAATTCTTCTATGGTCTTCCTTATTCACTGCCCAGCTTTCGCATGCATATGAGGTTATTGAAAATACCATGGCTTGGGTCAGGTGACCCCTTAGTTCTCAAGCTGACATCTTTGCTCTTCAACACTTTAAAAAGGTATGTGCAGCAGATTTGCCTAATGCAATACATCGTTTGATTTCTTGACTGCTGTTTCCGTGAGTGTTGATAGTTGACCCAAGAAGAATGAAGTCTTCGACAATTTAAATCTTTTCTCCATTGATAAGAATGTTGTTTATTGGTCCAGTGGTGAGGATTTTTGTTTTCTTGACATTGAAATGTAATCCATACCGAAGGCTGTGCTCTTTGATCTTCATCAGTAAATGTAGCAGAGCTCAAGGCTAATTGGCCTTCTGATTCCAAGCCTCAGGTACTTCCTGGTCCAGCCCCCCAGATGTGGTTGTGCAGCTGAGGGAAGACAACTAACTGAAGGCAGGTATGACGGCAGTGCCCCCTTGCTCTCAGAGGGAGTGGGGATTAGCCCAGGAAGGGGTGGGGCAGACAGCTACAGATGACAGAAGGCTTCCTGAACCCCGAGGAAGCCCCAGAGTGGGTGCAGCCTCACCCGGCAAGCCATCTCCTGGAAAGCAGCAGTTCCCATCCCCAATCTCTGACTTCCTCTAGGCTGCTGTCACCTGTGATGTCACACACTGGGATACAGCCAGAGAGAGTGGGTGTGACACAGCCACCCTCAGGCTGCATCCTTGGCCTATTCCTGGCTCTGTGTACCACCAACGTGGCAGGCCTGGTCTGAGGAGAGCTGGGAAGGCAGTTTAAACAGCCAAACAGAAAGAACAGACAATGGCTGGAGAGACTCAGCTGCTGTTGACTAGAATCTGGCCCTTCCCCTTCTGTGGTCTCACTCCTGGCCTGTTCCTGAGCCCACACTGCCTCGTGCGCACACACACACACACACACACACACACACACACACACACACAACCATTTAGGAGCTCAAAGAACTAGTATTATCAGTACAGAAAGATTTTACACTCCGGGGAGCACTTTAAACTGTTCAGCACAGTGTATGATGGTAACTGCACACACTGAGGCCCACACTGGACAAGGGGACGGGGATGGAGCTCTGGTCCAGTGAGGGCTGAATAACCAGCCGGAGTGGGTACTTACAGGAAGAGGCCCATAGAGTGTCTGAATTAAACCAGCTCTCAGATTTGGGTCAGGAGACTCCTAGACCAACCAGAGTTATTTAGATATTTGGCTTCCAGAACCCAGATAAGTTCCAAAACCACTGATATCAAATTTATTTAAGCACAAAATCAGATAAGTATTCCTAAAACACAACATGTAAGGATAATAACAAGCGCTGACATTTGGACAGTGTTTCACTTTTCAAAGCACCTTCATGGGCAGCCTCGCACTCCTGTGAGGTGGGCTCCTTCAGCACAATTCCGACTCACAGTGAGCCCGTGTGACAGAATAAGAAGCATCCCACAGGGTTCGGAGCTCTAAGGAAGCAGCCAGGTCACTTCCTCCTACGAAGGAGTTGGGTGGATTTGAAACACCAATCTCTGGGTCAGCAGCTAAATGCTTAGCTGTTTACACTGTGTTATTATCCCCTTTCCAAAAGCGAAGAAAAGGAGGCTTAAAGAGAAGACACTTGCTAAAGCGGCACAAACAGTAAATTTCCATGACTGAAAACCAGGTCTGCCTCCTCACCAGTGCTGCTCCTCATAGAAAAAAAACTCCCTCATGAGAGAGAAGGCCTTGGGGGGCGGGGGGCTGGCACCCCCCACCCCAGCAGGGAAGGAAAATGGCATTGGGCTCTACTGGGATCTGGGCAGAAGTGCCCCCATCCCCACCAATACTCACCCCAGGAGCTTGCTGTGGTCCAGCTGGTGGCTAGGGGGCATTCGACAGGCACTAAACACAATGATCTTCCGTCCATACTTGTCATCGCCTAAGGCAAGGGGGCAGAGGAGCACAGTGGTCAGTCAGGGATGATGGCCCCCCTCTGGGCAGCCCACTCAAGGTGGTGTCACTGAAGGAGGGACAAGTTGGGTTGTGCTCAGGGAACTGAGAGGGGCTATTAAAAACATGGCACTGTTGAAAAAGTTAACTTTTAAAAAAGCAGCTGAATTTTAGGAGGTTGTAGAATAATATCCACTTGTCTGGATATTCATCAGCTACATGCTCAAATTTCTGATATAAGTAATTCTCAAAGTGAGCACTGAGTGGCTACTAATTTGCTACCCCTGCTAGAGAGTAAGATCCCCTAAGAACTTGATTGAACCTCAGCACAGTGATCCTGCTTGGTCACCTTAGAGCAGGTGGTGGGCTGGAAACGTCTTGAGTATGGGGTCCCCAGCCGATCTCCTCCCTCCCTGCCTTCCTCGGATGGTGGCTGTTTATGCTGGACATGTGGCCAGAGACGGGTAAGGATCACGTGGAACCTCGGCAACCTAAGACAGAGCCATTGCCATGCTGCAAGGAGTTTCGATGATGGGTAAGACTGAGGAATTCGCACTGACCGCCTAAGACAGGCAGCATGCCTTAAACAAACAATAAATAAGGGGGAATCGGATGCAGACCGTGCAGACCCGGTCAGGAGGTCAAGACCCTGTGGGCCCTAGCGTTGTTGACCGTCCAAACTATAGGCTCTGAGGATCAGACTTTAGCCACCTAGTAGACATAGCAAACTGTCCCTCATCTGATTATTCAGTAATGCTTGTTAGTAATCTCATACATGAGCCCTGGATATCCACAGACAAATGTAAAAACCTTCCCTAAAAGCCGAGACTGTAAATTCCAAAAAGGCACGTTCCCCCCCACTGCCCCCCCCAAAAAAAGCTAAAGAGGATAGAGAGAAACACTGTAAACTGATGATATATGGAGGGGATAATAATCAATGTAATGAAACAAGCTATATGAATGGTTGAATGTGAAGCTGATGATGTGCCCTGTAAACTTTCACTCAATCCAAAATAAAAACATTTAATAAAAAAAAAAAAGCAGCTGAATCTTGTCAATGGTCATCTTAACAGGCAGCTCTGAGAAGCATGGATTCAGACCATCACTGGACAGTGCCTCGAGCACGTCTGAGGCCACGAGGAAAATCTGTCTGCGTGTGTGTTAGTGTGTGCGTGTGTGGTGGATGTATATGCAGCAACGTAATTCGTTTCAACAGTCTTATTAGCCCTTTTTAACTTCTGGAAATACTTGACTTTGTTACAGTTATTGACCAGACTTGGCTCTGACGGACTTCTGGCCCTTTCTAAAACTCATCTCCTTTCTCATTAAGCATATTCTAAAACACCTGGAGCTTGGAGGCATACTGTGAAAAGTGCTCACTATGTGAGCGTGCTCAGGAAGCTTGTCAAAGGTCACAATTCGATGGTCACACTCTCAGGCTCTGCCATGAAGCAGGGAGTCCTGAGGTAACCATCACATTTCCCAAAGTGAGATGGTCTCCACAGCTTGGTGTAGATCAGGAGACACACCGGTGGGGACAAGGCCGGACCCCTCTGCCATGTCCCAGGAACCTCTCCTTCACCTCTGACCTCCAGCCTCTCTGGGGGAACCAGCAGACAGTTTCCCAATCCCCGCTGCTTCAGAGGCAAATAAGAAGACCACTTACACACCCATGAAATGAGTAAGGGTCTGTCCCTCATCTACTTCCATGGATGAAGGATTGCTCAGCTCCTCACTGAGTGTCCCTCACGTTTAATAAACCATGTTCCTACTACCTTCACAGGAATGCAAGAGTTAAGTGAATCAACGTAAATACTGCTAACTAATGGTACAGGGAAGGGATGGCAATCATTTGAATGAAGCAAAGTATTTGCTTTGTTGACTATAAAACCAATGATCTGCTCTGTAAACCTTCACTCAATTCACAATGAAAAGTTTAAATAAATGAACCATGTTCCTTGGTCTCACCGGGCAGCCAGTCAATTGGCATAGTGTCATGTTCTGCCTCCCAGTATGGTGAGTGGTGTCTGGGATCTTAAATGTTTATGAGCAGTCATGAGAGATACAACTATTAAGCTCTAGTCAATTTGAAGAAAAACGATCGCAGGAAGCCCAAGAGTCAGAAAAGGAACCAAAACTGCAGGACTAATGGTCTCCATGGACCGCTCGCTGCCTCTTGTACCGAAGGCCAGAAGAACAATATGGTGCCTGACTACCACTACGGAGCATCCTAATCAGGGACACAAAAGATGGATCCTGAAAGAAAAGGCGACAAACGTGGGGCAGGAACTTTAAATTTTTAAAGAATCCAGACTTAACTGGATCTACTGAGCCTGGAGTTCCTGAGCCTATTGTCTTGAATTCACTCTCCAGATTCTGAATCAAGACTATCCCCTGATATCACCTGTAAATGAACTGTTTTACTTAAAAAGTAAAGATGATTACATTCTAAAACAAAAAGGATCTCTAAAAGACCCAATGGACAACAGCATTTCAAAACACAGATGAGAGGTTTGGGGGGCAGGGAGTGTAAGTCAGTGGGAGTGAAAGAAGTAGAACAGAAATAGCAAGAATGTTGACACAATGGGAAGCACGCAGCCAGTGTCCTTGCTTCTGTCTAGAAACTGCAGAATGGGAGCAAGTTTCACTGTGTATATTTCACCAAACAAAAACAAACAAACACAAAAAAGCTTGGATCTGGATGGTCCTGTCTTCGTCATGACTTAACCCAGAAGTCACTGTTTTTCCAGCATGCTTGCCAAGGCCCTGACCCTTTTCTCTAGGGCTGGGGCAAGGCTCAAAGGAGGAGTTGAAAGAGGATTATGGAATGTAGGCAGGGTGACCTCAGTCCCTGCAGGCTGCACAGCCTGGCGCTCTGCCCTGATTTATTGCCTCCTTCCAAACAGTCTGATGACCACATCCAGCCACGCCAACCCCCTCACCTCAACCCAAAACAATGCCTGGCCTCTGTAGGCCCTGACAGGTCTTAACCAGGGTCCTCAAAGTATTTCCTGGGCTAGGGTTTGAGACCCAGCCCACCAAGCCCATTGAGGGTCTGCCCTGACTCGTAGTCTTTTAAAAGTATAAACTGCAGTCCTTGGGTGGCTAACACACTGAGCTGCTAATCCAAAGGGCAGAGATTTAAATCTACCCAGAGGCACTTTGGAAGACGAGCCTGGAGATTTGCTTCTAAATACTCAGCCATTGAGAACCCTACAGAGCACAGTTCTGCTCTGACATGCACCGGGGTGTGGGTAGGGTGTGGGGTGCATGTGCATGCCAGGGTCAGAGTTGATTCCACAGCATGCCTGAAATCCTCCTTTTGTCCTGACTCAACTTTTCTAGGCTCCTTCCGGGCTTGGCCTTTCTGTCTCCTCAGGCTCACTCCATGCACACCAACACAGAGGGTTTAAAAACTCAGCCAGCGTTCAGCCTCTACTGTTTCTCATACCAGACCGACCTTTTTTCTAGACGGTTCTCCTCCATACTCTAAGCTACATCTTATAAATCCTTAAGGCTCAACCCAGATACGATTTCCACCTGGAAACCTCTCTTCCCAGCCAGGGTAGCCGTCCCTTCCTATGGCTCCCAGCATAGACTGTCATCTAGCTCTGTCCTGTTGAACTGCAATGTGCCTGTTGACTCTACTAGCTGGTAAGTGGCTTGGAGGCCCTGCTCTGGGGCCCAGCATGCAACAGGAACTCAATAAATGCTGGGAGTCAGCATGGATCATGGGTGTAGGTTTCTGGGCTCCTTTGTGGTGGTTGCTTCCATTACAAGGGAGACTGTCTTTAGTCAGTGAGTTTCCCAATGTTTGGGGCAGAATTTCTCCAGAGTTACAGGCGGAGGGCCTCTAAGAACCTGTCTGAAGAGAGGGAGAAGGTGCACCTACATCCAGCAGCAGGTCTATTTTTGGGGACTGGGTGCCATTTGCTTTTTTTCATGCCCTAGACCTGGGGGGCTGGGGCTTTATGTGCTGGCAGAGGGGGGTCCTAGGGTGACCAGCCTGCTCTAATTCTCTTTCCACTGACTCCAATGGGGGAAGGAAGTACAGGGATGAAGAGGTGAGACCGGCAGCCAGACTCTTGTATAATCTGGAACCTCAGTAACCGTCGGAGCAACATCTGAAGCAGAGGAAACACCCGGAAGGAGGAGGAGCATGGGCTCTCCAAGGGTTCTTTCAATCCTTGCCAGGCAGCAGCAAGGCCTCCGTTCCACAGGCTGCAGTGGCTGGCAAATTTGAGGACTTCAAGAAGACAGAAAGCCTGGACACTCACACAGCTTTGGAATTTAAGAATCTAAAAACGCGTTCAGCAAGCAGTTAGGGGGCAAAGGGGTCAGGAGCCTGCGGTTCCATCTCTCAGCTAGCCATATGAAAAATCACTGTGGCTGTAGAGTCAATTCTGACTGATAGGAACCGAGGAGAACTGCCCTGTAGGGTTTCCGTGGCTGTACTCTATAAAAGCACACTGCCTCACCTTTCTTTTGAAGAGTCACTGGTAGATTAGAACTGCCAACCTTCTGGTTAGCAGTTGACCGGTTGAACCACTGCACCACAGGGCTCAGCTGGCCTAGACCCTTGTAAATGAGAAACTCTCAACCACAGCTCCATCAAAAGGCTTCAGGGACACAGCAATTCTATGCCACTATTGAAAAGATTACAATTACATACAAATTTTTCTAGGGGAAGAGGTCCCAAACTGTTCACATTCTCAAAGGAGCCTGTTCTCAGTTTTAAGCACCATTTCGCTAGACTGTCAGTCAGTTCCTTGAACCCTCATTGAACCCCCAGTGCTGACCGCAGGGCTTGTTCCAGAGTAGGTGTTGAATAAAGCCACAATGAGGGTGCGAGTGGAGATCACTGGAGGGATGGATGGCAAGACTGCCAGATAGGTGAGGAAGGAAAGTATGAGCAGTTCTAGAGTCTAACCCATGCCCTCCACTTCCTGGAGCAGGACTCTGCTGTCCCATCCTTAGGTGGCCAGACAGGCAGGGTGAAAGCTGCTCCAGGAAGCATGTGTACAAAGGCCCAGGCTCCCCCTCCTCCAGAGCAGAGCAGTGAGGGCCTGAATAGAGGGAGGCAGTGTTTGTGGAAAACACCAGGAAAGAACAGCTGCCTGAGAGCAGACGTCTGCATTCCCCAGATACCAATCAGGAACTCTCCCAGGGTGGCCTGGGTGTTAATCAGCAACAATAGTTTCTCCATGACCATTCTGGAAACTGCCAGACCTGCCCGGCCACACCTACAGCCAGCAGAGCAGGCCCAGAAGACCAAGGTGGGGCTGGAGACTGACAGAGTCCTGCTTATAGGAGCCAACAGTTTAATTGTCAGGAATTTGGCAAGTTGTTTGACGTCACATTGGTAGTTTACATTTGGCCATGATAGAAATTGGCACATACTACAAATAATGGCCTTTTTTAATTCATTTTTGGAGAGTCACTTGTTAAACATTTACTAGCACACCACTGGACAGAATCTGCTTGCACTGAGCCTAATTTGATCACGCTAGCCAATACGAGAAGCTGGGTTCTATGAAGAAAAATGTGGCGTCAGGATTGGAGGAAGACTCATTAACAACCTGCGATATGCAGATGATACAACCTTGCTTGCTGAAAGTGAAGAGGACTTGAAACATTTACTTATGAAGATCAAAGAGCACAGCCTTCGATATGGATTACATCTCAATGTCAAGAAAACAAAAATCCTAACCACTGGACCAATAAACAACATTCTTATCAATGGAGAAAAGATTGAAGTTGTCAAGGACTTCATTCTTCTTGGATCAACTATCAACACTCGCGGAAGTAGCAGTCAAGAAATCAGACGACGACGTATTGCATTGGGCAAATCTGCTGCACAGGAACTTTTTAAAGTATTGAAGAGCAGAGATGTCAGCTTGAGGACTAAGGTGCACCTGACCCAGGCCATTGTGTTTTCAATAGCCTCATATGGATGCGAAAGCTGGACAGTGAATAAGGAAGATCATAGAAGAATTGATGTCTTTGAGTTGTGGTGTTGGAGGAGAATACTGAAAGTGCCATGGACTGCCAAAAGAACCAATAGATCTATTTTGGAAGAAGTGCAGCCAGAGTGCTCCCTGGAGGCCAGGATGGCTAAGCTTCGTCTCTAATACTTTGGACATATTGTCCGGAGGAAACAGTTGCTGGAGAAGGATGTCATGCTGGGTAAGGTGGAGGGTCAGAGAAAAAGGGGAAGACCCCTAACGAGATGGATTGGCCAGGTGGCATCATTGATGGACTCAAGTGTGGCAGCAGTAGTGAGGTTGGCCCAGGATTGGACATTGATTTGTTCTGCTGTGCATGGGGTCGCTATGAATCAGTTCCGACTCGATAGCACCTGACAACAACAACGACAACAGCCAGGTAAACAAGGAGCTCTGGTAGTGTAGTGGTTACAAATCGGGCTGCTAATCTCATGATCAGCAGTTCGAAACTACCAGCCGTTTCATGGGAGAAAGATGAGGCTTTCTGCTCCCATAAAGATTTACAGCCTCGGAAACCCTGTACAGGGTCACTATGAGTAGGAACCGACTCCACGGCACATCACAACAACAAAGCCAGGTAAACAGGAGTCCTGGTGTGGTGCTGTGGGTTAATGCGCCAGACTGCAAAGCCGTTTGAACTGCAAGGTCGGTGGTTCAATCTCCCCCACAGGAGAGCCCCTTCTCCAGTTGCTGGTACCAGGAAGCAGCCTCCGAGGATGAGGACGTACCCTGGTGTCATCCAGCGGGATACCCAACAGATTACTGAGCCAGCCTTCTGTGTTCAGGCCTGGTCTGAGGTAGGACAGGACAAGGCCCTTCTGTCCCCTGGGGCTTCTAGGTGCTCCCACACACAGCCTCCACCCTCTTAGAACAATTTCTTTTTCTATTTCTGATTCCCAGATATCACCAGATCCCTGCTAAAATTAAGCTGATCCAGCAGGCCTCCACCAGGAACCCCTCCTGATCAACAGTCCCCTGATCAAAAGTCCCCCAGGACATAGCCCTGAGCCCAGAGGCCAAGTACAGACACCTACCTGGCTGGGCCCCCTCAGGCTCACTGCACCCTGGGAAGACAGAAACAATTCACAGCTCTGCTTGCAATGAGCTGAGAGGTCACCCAATGTCAAGGGGCCCAGGCTCCCCAGCTCTGCCTTGTGGAGTGACCCTATAGGCCAGGATGATGACATCAGGCCAGTCCATCTCTGGGAGACCAAGGTAAGAAGGTTCTGGACCAGGTGTCCACAGGCTAGGAAAGAATTCTCAGGAGGAGTGAAAGAGGCCAAAGCTAAGACGATTCCCCAAGTCCAGGACAGCCACCAGAAGAACAGGTATCATGGATGCACTTTTGACACTAGGGCAATTCTCCCCCTCTGAGTCCAGCACCTGGGAAAAACAGTGCTCCCTCCTGCTTCCCTATGGCCAGATGCCTCCAGGCACATGGCTTCACCCAGACCCCTGGCTAGCACTCTGCTAGGCTCCAGGGTCCATCGTCCACATGGCTTTCCTTTCCCACCTGACACCTCAGAACAACACTATACTATGATCCTGGCTGACAGTTGCCTGGCTTCACCAGCAAAGACAAACAACCACTGGGGAAAAGGCAAAGGACCCACATCTCCAGTTTCCTCTTCTAGCAATGGGGCCCTAAGGGCAGGTGCTAGTTTCTGCCAATGCCAATCGCCATCCTCAGTCACATCCCGTCCTGGTTTAGTCTGGGTCCAGCCACATAAGCAGGAGGCTGCGGGCTCACTGAGTCTGATCTCAGTTCTGCTGCTTGGTGGCAGAGTGACTCTAGACCAGAAACCTGACCTCTCTAGACTCGCTTCTTCCTCATAGACTTGCTGAGCGATTACAATAGTAATGTGGGTTAGGGCCTGGCCCAAGCCAGACCAGAGTTGGCCCTCAAGAAGTGGCCATTCATTTTCCCTCACTGCTCCCCTTGCCTTTGACCTGCCAAGAGATAAAGCTTCATCAGACTCAGGGCTTTCTGACTTCAAAGCCACTAGGCCACACAGCAGCCCCCTGTGGAGACAATGACAACGACAACGGGGTCGCAAGTCAGAACACGGTTACAGGTGAGTGTACCTAGTCATAATCAAATCTGTGATGTTGCCGAACGGTGCCTGTGCTCTGGCTGAGACCACAGGGTGGGCATCAACTCCCTGACCAGGCCCTTCCCCATGGCATGAGGGAATAAAGGATGCTCACCTGCCACTTCCACGATCTGGTGCCGGGCGATGTCATAGTAAGGGTCGTCCCACTTCAGGTGTGTGGCAGGTTCCGGGGAGTTGCATTTGGAATCATCTGAGGAACAGAGCCATGTGTGGGCTCAACCCAGGGAAGAGGCAATGGTGCTCCCAGTGACACCCTTCCCCTCCGCCACTCGAAACGCTTCTGCTCCCCCACCCCCTTAACCCTAGGTTGGACTGCTTGTCCCATCCTGCCTGCCGTTTTCTCCCCTCTAGGGTCTGTGGCAGCCTGATATCTGGCAGCACCCACCTGACTTGGGAAAGTCTGGCATTTCGTCTGAGGGCCAGTTCTTCTCATCAATGGAGGCCAGCTTCAGCTGGTTCAGGGCCTGGCTGGTGTCATCAAATGTCAGATCATCCTGCAGCTCTGACAGTGGGTCCATGACCAGCCTGTCCCCCACAGCCACACCTCACAGAACCTGAAGAGAAAACTAGGGGAGGGGGAGCAGGTCACCCCCCCATCATTTCTACAGCAAGTCGCCTCAGTCTGAACTCTCTTGTCCCCGAGCTCCTCTGCCCTTGTTCCTCAACACCTCTTATCCCTGTCAATAGCTCCAGGCAGCCCTGGGTTCTGCTGGCTCCACAGTTCAGGCGTGTGGCCAGAAAAGGCAGCTGGGACAGAGCATGGTACAGCTCAGCATCTCCTTCAGGCCCTCTAGCTGGTCAGAGAAGAGCAGTGTCAGATCCCACAGAGACCACCACCCAGCTGGTTTTGCCCTTGGGTCCAGCTACAGAGAGTGGACTTCAGAGATCTGAAGTTTCCCAGGACCCTGCAACTATAGAAAGAGATGCAGATGTAATGTAGCAAGATCTCATGGAACACACTGCTAGGCTTGAAACCACTCAGCAGTGACTCAAGATTACTCCATCCCTACTCCTGCCCTGGGGTAGACGAGGTGGCCATAGGCCACAGGGTCCCAGAAAAAAAGGTCAGAGCCGAGAGGCCCAACAGGCCTGCCCCAGGCCAGGGACTAGCAGCAGCAGATGGAGTTTGCCTGCCAGCCACAGAGCAAACAATCTGCAGGCTTCCAGGGACTCCCAAGCCCACCCCTGATCCTAGTTTCAAGGTGGAAAAGGTCAAAAGATTTAAGGGCTGGAGGGCATAGATGGGAAAGGCGAAGGCATCCAAACTGCTGAGACCCAGGAGGTGAAGAACCAGGACTGCAGCCAGCGCCCTCAGGAAGTCAGAAACACTGACTCTGAGCTTGTGGCCTTGAGCAGTCCCAGCCCAGGGCAGGCACCTTCTGCCCTCAGCCTGAAGAGGAAGCAAATCCTTCTCCCACCACAAGCTCTCACCATAAGAGTGAGGGAGGGGAGTTCCAATTCAACCCACTTAGTCCAACCTCAGACAAGAGGCTGCTCCAAGCCCGGCTGCATTCTTGGAGCCCAAAAAGGGCCATATATGGTTAGAGAATCACCAGAGCAGATAAAGATTGCAGACGAGAACAGGGGCAGGGAGGGAGAACGGCCATCAGACATCAGACCATGAACACCTCAGGGTATCTGAGGCAACGTGACAACCTCCTGCACATGTGACAGCTGAGGTTTCTGGATGGCAAACTAAGCTCCCTGTGCCTAGCAACAACCACCCTGTTACCAAGGTAACCACATTGATTCAGTGGGAAAAGCTGTTTCAAGCTCCCAAGTCCAAACCAAGAGAAAACTTTTTCCTTATCCTCCCTGGATTTATTTACTGGTTACCCCCCAAATGTAAGTCCCTTCTCCCAAACACAGAGGAAGATGGCAGGCTAGTATTGGGGATAGATCTCTTTCAACTCTCCAGTGCAGATAATCCTCATTCTAGAGGAAGCCATGCCTGATCTATCGACATAGCAATTCCCTGTTCAACCAGGAGGCTGTGAGGGCTGCTCCCCAAAAGGGGCCTCCCAAACGGGAAGCAGGGGCAGGATCCAGAGCTGAGCCCTGGTCCCATCCCTCCTCTTCTGTCACTGCCCAGGTACCAAGTATGCCTTCAGCCCTCCCACCAGCCTTCCCAGAAACAGCTGTGAGATTTGGTGGGAAAGGCATGGGATGAGGTCAGTGAAGAACAGCCTTAGAGTCCTGCCTAAGCTTTTCTCCCATCTGGGCCTCAACTTCCGCATCTATAAAAGCCCTGGCTCCTCCCAGCAACACAATTTTCCTCCTTTCTAAAATGCCTAAACTGAACAACAGGATTAGAAGGAGCAGCTGAGAGCTCAGAATGCTGAGGGAGGAAGGGAGAAGGGCACCCTCTAAAAGGGTGTTGAATTTGAACCCCACCTCTTTTCCATTAACTCCTCCTTTATGCTGTCAGTTCTGACTTCCCCCACACCACCCATAACCTAATTTTCCAGCATTAGTAATCACAGTTGTTCCACCTCCCTGCCAGACTGGCCTCTCTCACCAATCTCCAGCCCACAGCTGTTGTCGCCAGGAGCCCATTCAGTGAGAGTGAAGGAAATTTAGACTTGGGAGTGCCTACCGTAATGTAAGGGAAGTATCCTGGCTGCCTAAGATTCCAGCCATCCACAAGACCCTGCTCCCATCTGTGAAAAATGCTCCTTGAGTGAAATTTTTCCTTCTCAGTGGGAAACCATATTCGTTTGCAGAAAACTTTGGACTGAAGCTATTACTTTTGGCGATTTGGACTGAAGCTTTAACTTTGGGGAAATCCTGAACTTCTCTGATGAAATTTGTGGACTTTCCTCCCTAATAAAAATTAACACACGTATGAAACCTTGCATGCAATTTTCTGGGGTTCACAGACCATCTGAAAGCCCCTGTTTTAGAATCCTTGACCTATTCCAAATGATGCCTGGCACACAGTTAACGCTCCATAATACTTGAATGATGACTGAATGGATTCATTTTCAGAGTGGAAAAGAGATCAACCTTTGTTGAGGGCGTGCAAAGTACAGGAAATGTACAAATATCTTTTAATTTCACAACTACACACTCAGGCAAGGACCACTAAGCTCATTTGATAGTTTGAGGAAAGGGAGGGCCAGAGGAAGGAAGTAAATTAGGATTATACAGACAGTGAAAGTTAGGACTTTAATGAGTCTGCTGTGGTCTCCTGGTAAACAATTCCCTAAGTGACTCATTGATGCGCTTCTCAAGACACAGAGAATCGGATGGTACAAAAGGGCAAATTAAAGCCTCTCCCGCAATCTTCAGCTCAGACCAGAGATAGCAATTTGTCACGTTGTCAGGCACGGGAATCAACCCCCTATAAAAGAGGACTTGTGGCTCATGAATTGCAGAAAATCGAATCCCCACCACAATACAACTACAGTCTCATCTGCATAGGCTTCACGGTTTACAAATCCCGGACTGGTTGTAATTATCCCATTTCACTGGTTAAAAGATTGAGATGAAAGAGTGGTCTAACAAATGACACTGTGGAATACTTCCCCCTGAGCTTTTCTTCTCAGTGCTACAACAGATCGGACCAGAGGCTCCCCGCTCCCACCGGCTTAATTCTAGGACAGCGATATGGACTCGGGAGGGCCCAAGGAAGGCAACCGGAGTGGAGCAGCGAAAGGCCAGGTCCTCAGGCCCAATTTCACCCTTAAGCTCCCTCCTCAGATCTACTGGGGTCCTCCCCATTCGAACCCCATCCCTTCAGACGACCCCCATCCAGCTTCTTTCCTTCCCCCACCCCCACCCAGGGAGACCCCCGCGCCCTGCTGCTCACCGCGCTCGGGCACAGCTCCCTTTGCCACGCCTGTCAAAGATCGGCAAACATCCGGCTCCGCTGGGGAACGGGAACACCCCCCTCCCCGTCTCAAGAGCCACACTCCCCAACCACTTCCGCCACACCTCCAACCCACTTCCTGTCCATTCTAGTCTTTTCAGGAGCTCCGCCCATTTCCTGAATTTGCCCGCCTCGCGGACTACAGCATAACTGTCCGAGTCGTTTCTTCCAAGAGGTGTAGAAAACGTTAGTTCCGCTTTCCTTGATACTCCAAACTGGTGTATCTCCGGAGTCTTACATTCGTTGTCTTAGGACAGAGTTTTGCTTCACAAGTACTCTCAAGCTCCTGGTTCTGTGCACCAGTGAGATCCGATTCTTAGGATTCTCTCCTAAGCGAAAATTTGGAAATGAACGACTGTTTCCGAGAAGAGCTGACAAGACGACGCTCACTTCCGGTGGCGTGAGGGTGTCAGACCCGGGATGGAGGAGGCGGAGGAGCAACTCTTTGAGGGAAAAAGATCGCAGCTCGGTGAGTGACTTGAAATGTCTGTAGCCTTCAGCCCTGGCTTGAATGGACCTGACGTTCTCTGGTTTACTTTCACTCTCCGTCCCTGCTCCCCATGAGCCCGGGATCCTTCTCCGGTGACTTCAGAGTCGCTGGAGACCTCTTAACGACCCCCACCACCACCACCAAACTATTCAGGCCCTTTAAAGGGCCCCTTTGGATTTCCACAAGGAGCCCTGGTACAGCCGTGAGCCAAACATTGGGCTGCTATCCAAAACGCGGACGGTTCGAATCCACCACCCGCTCTGCGGGAGAATAAGACTGCTCCGCTTAAGAGTTACAGTCTCAGAAGCTCTAGGGAGCAGCTCTGCTCCGTCCTATACGGTCCCGCTGAGTTGGAATCGACTAGGCGGCAGTGGGTTTGGTTCGAAGGTTTGGAGATCCTAGCTCCACCTGCGGCTGCCTCTGCACCGTTTCCTGCCTCTTGGATGCTCCCTCGCCGTCCGCGCTCTCACCGTCTTCCTGTCTGCCTGCAGCCCCCGAGCGGCGCCCGGACCGGGACTCAGGATGGAGCGCTTCCAGAGAAGGCCGCACTCAGAGCCTCCAGGTCTTCCCACCGGAGCTGGCCCGAGCCGTCCTCGCTCTAAAGACTCTCCCCCGGGGTCTAGCCCTAGGCCCCTCGCTCACCGGAGATCAGCGCCTGGGGATCTGGTGTGTCGGGGAGCCCCTGCAGCCTGGACTGCACTGGGGACCACTGGAAACAAAGTCTACCTCTGAAAAGGACGAGGAAGTGGAAACACGGCCTGAGGAGGTACTGAGGGATTGGGCCCCCAGCTGGCATTTCCGGTTCAGGTGGTCACCCGGTTGTTAGACGAGGCAGGGTATGGCCAACAGGATAGAGGAGGTGGTTTTGTTCATTCTCCGCGGGACAGTCTCCCTTTGTCACTTGAGATCAAGGTGCCAAAAGTTTTAAAAACTAGATTCGTGTTGTGTTAACAATGACAAAAGCCAATGGTTTGGGGGATTGAATCAAATACCAGCCTTGTTTCTCACTTGCTAATTGACATGCCTCATTTACTCCAGCTGTAAATAAAGAAGCACAATGTTGTTGTCCAGTGGTTTCTGACTCATAGAGATCCTGTAGAGGGTTTCTGAGGAACAGCTGGTGGGTATGAATCGCAAACTTGTGGTTTAAACCAACCTTATGGTCCAGTGCATATCTTACAGCACCACACCAGGACTCCAAAAGAGCATAATGGTGGTTGTGTGCTGTGCAGTCGGTTCTGACTCATAGCTCCCTGTATGGGGTTTCCGAGGCTATAAATCTTTACCAGAGCAGAAAGCCTCATCTTTCCATCAAATCACTGATTGTTTCAAATAGCTGACCTTGAGGTTATTCGCCTGACTCGTAACCTCTACACTACCAGAGCTCCTTAAATAAGCAAAACAGAGGTCTCAAAATTATTTGGAGACAAAATGATACGTAGGAGGCCTGGTGGCTCAAGCCAAAAGATCAGCTTATAGAATCCACCCAGTGGCTCTAGGGGAAAAAGGCGTAAAATACGCCAGGGGGTCAACTCTGTCACATGGGTTTGCTAGTCATGACTGGCTGGTCAGCATCTAAGGGCAGATAAGCTAATGCAGTAAAAGGTATCACTGTATGTTGTAGTTAAGTGCGGGCAAGTCGGTTCCAACTCGTTGCTGTTGTTATGTTTTGTGGAGTCGGTTCCGATTCATAGCAACCCTGTACAGGATTACCGAGGCTGTAAATCTTTATAGGAGCAGACAGCCTCATCTTCCGCAGAACAGTTGGTAGTTTCTAACTGCTGACCTTGAGGTTCGCAGCCTGATTCATAACCACTATGCTTCCAGAGTTCCAATTCATAGCGACCCTGTATAGGGTTTCTGAGGATTGACTGATGAGTTTGAACCACCAACTTCGCGTTCCAGTGCTTTATCTTACAGCACCACACCAGGACTCCACTGTATATAACAAGTACTTTTAAAAAAGTTGATGTTTCTCTCACTACTGTTTTTATTTAGTACTCACTGAAAGTCAATAATGGCTTCAGTTGATGAATTCTCCACACCTTTGAGAGGAAGATAAAGACTCTTATTAATCCAGAGTCTGGTGTGACGCTGTAGGATGGGCTGCTAACTGCAGTTCAAACCTATCAGCTACTCCTCAGAAACTCTCGACAGGGTTTCTATGAGTCAGAAGCAACTTGACAGCACTGAGCAACAATGGGGAATCCAACAACACAGTCTTCTAACCAGTGACCACTGGCATCTCTGTCTGTGCCAAGAGAGAGATGCCATCCAAGCCAACGTCCTACCCCATTCAGCCACCCCACCTCCAGTGCCTTCAAACACATTTGAGAAAACTTTTATTGGTTTATTTCAGGATCTGTTCCTAGGCCCGTGGCAAGACATTTGTGTCAGTGAGCAGAGTTCAGATTGGACCAGGTAAGTTTCGGGAAAATATGTAATGAAATTGCTCCTTTGGAGTTCTGGGCATGGCATTGTAGGATAAGCACCAAACTGCTAGCCACAAGTTCAGTGGTTCAAACCTACCAGTTGGTCCTTGAAAACTCTATACAGGGTCTCTTTGAGTCATTGTGACTTAGTGTGATGCTGTGGGATAAACACTGGACTGCTAACCACAAGGTCAGCAGTTCAAACCCACCAGCCACTCCTCGGAAACTCTATATAGGGTCACTATGACTCGGAACTGACTTGACAGCAGACAATAATTGTGGCTTCAAGAGTCCTGATGTTGCTATGCTTAAAGCGCTCCACTACTAACCAAAAGGTCAGAAGTTCAAATCCACCAACCACTCCATGGCAGTCAGCTTCCATAAAGATGTACCTTATGGGGCAATTCTAGTCTGTTCTTTGGGGTCACTGTGAGTTGGAATCGACTCCATGGCAACAGGTTTGTTTGTTTATTGTGGCTTGCTAGGAGCTGAAGCAAGCTATAGCTCCCTGCTCAGTGTGCTTTTGCAATGAGTGTTCCAAAGGCATGCAGTCCCTCAGGGCTCCGACTGCCTGGGAGCTCAGGTTCTCACTCGTGGCCACTTGCAGATGGTCTCTTGATCTAGCTCTTGCTCTGCTCCCCAGTTTGGTGCAACAGGGCAGACGGGAGAGTGAGGGAAACGTAGCTCCAGTGCTGATCAACGAGAGGCTCCACCTGCAGGTGTACCAGCTCGTGCTGCCAGGCTTCGAACTACTGCTGCAGCCCCAGCTTCCCTCTGAGGACCACAGCCCCTCCCAGCCCAGGCTAGAGGCTGTGGCAACCAAAGTCCAGTCCGCTGCCCGAGACCTTTTAGAAGAGGTCTCCCTTGAGGAGAATGTAGCAGAGAACTGCACAGGTATGTGCCAAATGCTGGCACCCCAAATTGTCACCAAAAGCACCTGTTGGTGAGACAAAGCTGAGTTTATGGATTAACATGGTAAGAGAGAACACTGGAGCAGCTTAGTAGCTTTTCTGAGCTAAAGGGCAAAGTTGGGATATTTTTTGAGATTTGTGAAGTCTGGTTTCATGTGGTTCTTTCACTAAGGGATGGGTACAGATCAACACATAATAGTTTAGACTTGGTCGACGCAGCAAGGCTATAGAATGTTCAGGCAAAGGGTTCAAAGAGTCTAGGGGTATAAACTGTTATGTGGGTTTTTTTCTATGGAAGTATGATAGCTCTTTTCCTCGGAATTAACAGTATGGTTATTTGTACTTTGGATCTTCCTAAGTAAGAGTTTCTGGAATAGTAAGGCTATTTGATGAAGACAGGCTATATACAGTTTCCATTCTGGCCTGGGCGGTGGGGGTCTTGTATTTTACAAAGGAGGAGCTAGGGGCAGTGGATCTTGACTCACATAATAAGTGGGTGTCTCCAGAGGGGCAATGAGGCGGTCTATGGGATGGCCTTACTATAGGGATTATGTAGATGACCGGATACTCTGGTCCCTAGAAAGCACCTAAGCCTGGAGAGGAAGGGAAGAGTTGGTGTCATAGCTCCCACCGTGGTTCAGGGGCTGGCTAGAAGACACATGGTCTTGTCATTTCTGGTAACAACACCGTTACCAGTTGCTACCAAGCTCTATTAACCCCAGCTCCCCACTCTTGCCTGGCAGGTCTCAGTCACCAGTGGCACCCCAATATCCAGGCAGAGAGCACAGTGAGCCCTGGATTGAAGCCCCAAGCTCAGGAGCCCCTTTCCATGGGCAGCCAACTACCTGGCTTACTGCTTCAGGACAGCTGTGTAGACAGGGAAGATCGGCCCCAGACACAGATGCCGCCTGAGCCGCAGAGCAGCCCCGCTGACCAGGAGGACCCAGACAGCAGTGAGACCAGTTCCTTATCGTCTTCCAGGGCCTCCCAGCCTCATGCCCACATGACCAAGAAGTGCTGCAGCCCCAGTGATCAGTGCCCACCCAGAGCAGAGACCACAGAGCCCAAGGACAAGCAGGCCAAAGAGCTTCCTGGCTTCCCTGCACATTTACGGACCCCTCCTGGTGGTGTGGCAGGCAACTCGTCGAAGTCGGGGCGACGGTACCCGTGCGGGGAGTGTGGCAAGGCATTCCTGCAACTGTGCCACCTCAAGAAGCACGCCTTTGTGCACACGGGTCACAAGCCCTTCCTTTGCACCGAGTGTGGCAAGAGCTATAGCTCTGAGGAGAGCTTCAAAGCCCACACGCTGGGCCACCGCGGGGTGCGGCCCTTCCCTTGCCCACAGTGTGACAAAGCCTACGGCACCCGGCGCGACCTCAAAGAGCACCAGGTGGTACATTCTGGCGCCCGGCCTTTTGCTTGTGACCAGTGTGGCAAGGCCTTTGCCCGCCGGCCTTCCCTGCGGCTGCATCGCAAGACCCACCAGACGCCAGCTGCCCCTACTCCATGCCCTTGCCCTGTTTGTGGGCGACCCCTGGCCAACCAGGGCTCTCTGAGGAACCACATGCGGCTCCACACTGGAGAGAAGCCCTTTCTATGTCCGCACTGCGGCCGGGCGTTCCGCCAACGGGGCAACCTGCGTGGGCATCTGCGGCTGCACACGGGGGAGCGTCCGTACCGCTGCCCACACTGCTCAGATGCCTTCCCCCAGCTGCCTGAGCTGCGGCGCCACCTCATTGCCCACACCGGGGAGGCCCACCTTTGCCCTGTATGTGGGAAGGCCCTTCGAGACCCCCACACACTGCGTGCTCATGAGCGCCTGCACTCGGGGGAGAGACCCTTCGTGTGCCCCCAGTGTGGCCGGGCTTACCCACTGGCCACCAAGCTGCGGCGCCACCTCAAATCCCACCTCGCAGACAAGCCCTACCGCTGTCCCACCTGCGGCATGGGCTACACCCTCCCCCAAAGCCTCAAGCGGCACCAGCTCAGTCACCAGCCTGAGGTGCCCACCATCCAACCCTCTGTGGTTCCTGCGGCTTCAGAGACCACTGTGGTGCTGCTGCAGGCTGAGTCCCAACTGCTGGACGGGTCCAGCGAGCGGGTAGTCTCCCCAGCCAGAGACATCGTTGAGGTTACCATCTCTGAGAGCCAGGACAAGTGCTTTGTGTTACCAGAGGAGTCCAGCTCCTCACACAGCCTGATGCTCATCCATAAGGACATGGGCTTTAGTGCCTGGGCGGAAGTGGTGGAGGTAGAGACGGGCACCTGACCGCTGACCCCTGATGGAGCACTCTCTAAAGACTTCTTTCCAGTTGCTGAGTGTTTGCATCTTCTTTCTCTGGGGCTTCCCAATGGGGACTAGAGTCTGTTGTGAGAAGTAGGTCTGTGACTTCACTTCCTGAGTCCCTGGGTGGCACAAACTAGCAAGTGCTCTCAAGCACTAGCCAAAACGTCGACGGGTTCAGACCCACCCAGAGGCGCCTCGTGATCTGAGCCCTGAAAGTCCCAGCCTTGAAAACCCCTGGAGAAACATGGGGTCACCATGAGTGAGAGTTGACTCGCTGGCAACTGGCTTGCAGGTAGAGGCCCACCAAGTTGCTTCCCAAGGCTTTAGGCCAGGTGAGGCCTCTTCTGAGTTAAACCCTTCTCAACAACCGGTAGAACTTGTTCAGCTTCCTTACTGAGGAACACAGGCGCTTGTTTGGTACACAGTGCTGAGTGAGTGAACTTGCCCACTGAGATTATGGGGTGGTTGGCAGTGTTTTTGCCCTGCCTAGGGGAATTAGCACTGGAATAGAACAAACCCTTTTGGAACTCGAGTGGAGTGGCATTTGTGGGTTAAAAGACCTGGCCTCTCTTCTCAGCTCTAGGCTCTGAGAGATGTGGCTTGTCACATCTCTGTAATTCATGCTCCCGGTGGTGGTGGTGGTAGCTTTACTCACCACGGCACCCTTGTGAAAATTTGCTACAGTTTTGTACTGAGGACTCCTTGGGATGGGACAAATGCCAGAGCTGGACCTGTTTGTGCCTAAAGACCGCTCAGCTCAGGAGGGGTAAGCATTTGTTCTGCAGAGGGCACTGGGGGCTCAGGCAGAACCAGACAGACAAGGTGGTCCCCTGTACAGAGCTGATGGTGTCCTGGGAAGAGAAACGGCTGGAGTTCAGGAAAAGAGTGCTGCTATGTGCATGAATGCCTGAGGCAGCAGAGAAGGAATCATGATCATAAACCCAGGCCTAACGGCCCAGGATTTACATAAGATGCTCTCTTATTTTACTGATGAAGAACAGAAGTTACAAAGCTCCGTGGCAGAACTGAGATTCAAACCCACACAGACTCACACTGGTGCAAGGCGCCTAACCTCTGCCCTCTTCTGCTGCTGGGGTCACCTGTGACTAGAAGGAGGAGTAGGTGTTAGGAAAAGTAAGACATGGGGAAGAGCTTTGTGCTGAGAGCCTGGTAGGTCTGAGGAGCTAAGAGGACCAGCATGACTGGAGCAGAAAGGAGGGGAGAGGGAAGCATGGACCAGATCACACCAGGCTTTGGCCAGGAGTTTGGACTTAATTCCCAGATGCCGAGGAACTCTTGATGGATTTTGAGCCAGACAATGCCACGATCAGATTTGTATTTGAAAAGATCACTGATTTGGCAAAGCAACATGTAATTGTGAGGAAATCAATCAAGAGGTTGCTGTGGTGACTTGGAATAGGGTAGTGGTGGAAATGGAGAGATGGGATCGTTCATCCCACAAATTTTTCTTGAGGCCCTCCAACATACCAGGCACTGTTATAATGGCTAGGAAGACAAAATGCTCTCTGAGCTTACATTCAAGTGGGGGAAGACATAGGCCATAGGTGTCAGATGAGGATAAATGTACTGATGAGTATTTCGGGGAGGAGGTACTTTTACAGAGGATGGTCAGGGAAGACCTCGAAGACAACTTCAGCAGAGACCTGAATAACAAGACCTAGCCCTCATGCGTTCTGGGGGAGGAGCTAGATTCCAGGCCAAGGGACCATATGACAAAGGTCTTCTGTCTTTGAGCAAGAAACTGACCAAGGCAGAGGGGGCTATGTGGACCTTCCCTTCCCCTTAGATAGAAGGTAAAAGTCATGGGATTCAAAGACAGTGATGGAGAGAGAGAGATCTGATCCTGGTTTCTGGCTTAGGCCACCAAATGGTAAGAAGGTAGGTAACACTGGGGTGGGATCTGGGCTATTGTGGTTTTGGATCTTTGAAGTGTCTGGTAGAGATCCCAAATGAGCAGTTGAAAGAGTTATAATAAACTCCTGGGGGAAAGTCTTGGCTCGAGGGAGAGTCACGGGAGGTACTTGCCAATAGGTGGTCCTCAAAGCTTTGTGAATGGTGGGACAGAAAGGAAGGCACTGGAGCAAGCATTGAGGCAACTAGCCCAAGCTCAACAAGAGGAAGACTAAAATTCAGCATCCAAAGAAAGGAATCTGCACTTTGGGTCACAAAAGCTAATGAGAGTGTTTCAATGATGTCCTTTGCTATTGAGGGTGTTGAATGTATGGCCGAGCCAAGTGAGAGCTGCCAAAGCCAGATAGGATTGAGTGGAGGCAAGAGAAACAGGAAGAGCATCAATTCTTGCCCGTGTTTGTGCCATCTTACAAAATAAGTATGATTGTGAACCCTGGTTTGCTGGTGAGGGTCCTGAAGTTCAGAGAGGATAAGTAGCATGCCGAGACCACACAAGGCAACACCAGGGTCAAATGGGTGGTTTCCTGGCTTCACACACAATGTCGCTTCCCAGTTAGCCATTGATAGTAACCCAGGTGTCTACCCAATCCGAATTGACTCCTAGAAATGTGAGTTCTGGAATTGCCCAGGAGGGAGAGAGGAGCAGGCAGTGGTGGCCATCTGGAGAGATGACACCATCCAAAACCTGAAAAAGAATTGCTCAGATTCATTTGTAATCAGCCGACCGTGTTGCTTGGAGCCTGTGTGAGGCCTGGGAGGGTCTGCTCTTTTCCGGCTCCTACTTCATCCTGGGTAAAGGCTCAGCAGTGTCTGTCCTGCACAATGCAGCATCCTGGGG